TAAAATTGCAGTGAATGTATGACGGAAATCCAGGGGAAATTGATTTTGGTGCGAGTTTAAGCGTGAGGTTCGAGTTAGCGTGGGTTCGAGTTATCGGGAGTCGACTGCATACGCTTTATGGTCACTTCGACCCCAAGTCATTTTGTCCCAGTCAGCCCCCTTTTAAGGTAACCTGTAACATCGCTTAAAGAACGGGATATATTACATATTTAAGTGACTGAAAAATAAGGGTCTAAGTAGACTTGGGGGTGAGAGTGCGCGATATATTTGTTGTAACAGAATAAGGCCCCGTTTTATTTTAATAAATGGAGAAAACTTGGGTGCTCACCATTTAAGCTTATACAAACAACCCTGGAGGGAGAATGACTCGCGACAAAATACATCGAGATCAGCTGAACAGCCTAAAAAGAGTTGAAAAATTGCATTGCATCAAAATACAGCCCATATTTTCTGAAGCCTTCCCAAATGGGATGGCATGAACCATTTAATGATTTTCCAACCAAAATTTCCAGTTTTCCCACATAAATGGTAAGCACCCCTTGTCTCTGGTAGTAGGGTCACTCGCCTACCCAAGTTACCCTGGGTGAGCCAAGTCTTCCTACGTTTCTTTTAAAACTAGGCAAACCATTTACATGAAGAACAAAAAGTTGGCTCTGCCAGAGGTGTGACTTGCCTTCATGTAGCAAGGTCACTCTTGACGATGTAGGGTCAACCTCCTAGCTGGGCCAACTTTTCTCCATATAAAGTGTTTGGCTTGCACAGCCAGGTCAACTCAGTCAAGGCAAGACAATCAGAGCATTCGCGTGGGCTGTTAGCTCGGGCAAAGGGGGTTTCTTTTTTTTCTTACAGCGCTCACTAAAGGTGACTGAGCTGGGAGGGTGACCCTCTTTCCTGTGACAACTTTTCCCAACATAAAAGGGGCCTAAAATTAATTTTAATTTAGACCATCAGATTGTTGTTATATACAGAACACTTAAGATATTGGTAGTTGTTCTCAAATGTTCAATATTTAACAGGTCAGTTTTCCATGAAATGTCAATTCCCTTATGTTTTTTTGTGTACATGTAGGGTCAACGGCTCAAGAAATTGCAAGCTCGACAAATAAGAGAAGAAAAGGAAGAGGTGAGAAGATTTTAAAAAAATGATTACTTTTAACCTTTTGAAAAGAAGGTAAAGATAATTTACAAGACAGGGCCAGGTTGTTCAAAGCAGGGTTAGTGCGAAATTTCAATTCAGATATGAAAGCTTAAAAAGAAAATTCATTTTTTTCCTTTTGGGCTACAATTTGATGATTGGATGCTCAACAAAGAAAAAAATGCTTTTGAACAAAAGACGAAGAATTCTAAGTTAAAATTTAACCCCAGGTTAGCGCTAATCAGCCTTCGAGCAACTGGGCCCTACAGGGCTATAGCTTGCTGGTGATGCTGTACATCTCTAATGGTCCTCTATGCAGACATAAGGACTTAAGTAAATGTTTAACGTCATTAATAAAACCATCTTTTTTATCAATAGGAAGAAAGAGTAAAGATTGACATTGAGGAAGCCAAGCACCAAGCACAGAAAAGAAAAGAAGCCATTGAACGAGCCAAGACCCTTCAGTACTACCAAACAGATAGAGTGAAGACATTTCATGTAAGAGATTAAAACCTACAAAGTTTTTTTGGGCCCTTCAGGCCTCAGTTTGGTCCAAAAAGAAGGGGAGCACTCCCCTGGATCGGCCACTGATTATATCACAGAGTTTTCTTACCACTGGTCATTTGTACTTTCCAGGGTGCCCTGCTTCTAACAGAGGTTCTAAAGGAGAGAGATGCCCAGATAGAAATGAAGAATGGCAAACTTGATGCAGAAAAGATTAGAGAAGAGCACCTCTTGAGACTGCAGCAAAGGGTAACATTTCCCATCAGTCAACATGATAGTGAATAATACATTGAACTAAAATAATTTTTAGATTTTTAAAAATTCTGCAAATTGTTTCTTTGTCATGAATTGAGGGGTGAAAGTCTCCAAGATACAATTAACTCTGTACATAAATTCCTATATGTAGATAATGTTCATGTCAGAAGCATTTTTTTTAAGCTAAACCATGCTCGAACCCCTCAGTACAATGCACATGTAGTATTATTGAAGTACTTAAAGCAAGTTATGGGTCTCAAAATAATTGTTTCAACTGAATTCACCAAGGCTAGCTTTGTAATTGGATTGCTTTCAAGTGCTTACTCCACATATAGTCATGAAAATTTAATATTTGTATCTTCAGCAACGTGAGGAGGGAATTATGGAAGATCAGAGAAGAGCTCTGAGGAGGTATAATGAAAGAAAAGCAGTGTCAGATTTCCAAAAGCTCCAGTAAGTACTAAACCTTTTAGTAATTTCTAAATACTGGCCTAAGTGAGAAATTCTGCAGTACCTTCTGAGCTGCCAAAGGTAGTGAAACAGTGGCATACAGTATACTAGGAACACTGCAGTATTAGGGTTGAACTTGAGGTTAGAAGATCTACCGTAATATAATGCTGCATGGTGGTTTTAAACCAATGCCATAATCATAATATTTAAAGGGGTCAGTGGAAAAGGGGTGCATCTAAAAATAGAGGGTTATTCACTTTCACTTCTCAGAATCCTTGATCATATTGAAGAATCAAAAAAAGGAAAGGAAGCTGACGTGGAAGAGGGCAGAAATATCAAGCAGCAAGTTGACATGTATGAGGCTGCAAAGCAAGCTATTGAAGAGCAAAGGAGAAAAGTAAGTTAAGGTTTTTATTAGTGATAACTGGTTTGAGAAAGGGCAGTTTTGGAAATTCTTTGGTAATCAAAGGACAAAATTATCACCATAATGTACACGAAATTTTGTACCTCCTTACATTTATGATACTCATAAAGCTGAAAAATTATAATTATAGAATGTTAGTTAAGTTATTAAAAAAATATATTTTGAAGTGAAACTTTGGAATCCACGGAGATTACACGTAAACATTATAACAAATTTGCGACTCGTGCTGCATGAAAAAGGCTGGAACTTCAACCAAAATGGTAACTATAGTGATGTTGATTTATTATAACTAACTGTTTTTAAAGCCCATTTTGATTAATTTTCATTAATTATTTTTCAAGGAAAAGAAAGATATTATGGAGGAACATCAAGCACAGCTTGCTGATAGAGAAGTATGTTTGTCACAAAATAGTTATCCCACTGTAGATTTTCCGCTTTGTTGGAAATGCTTGTATGGTTTACCGGTATGTAGAAATGTTTGTTCCCCTTTTGAAATGATCATCCCAATTCCATCCTACGTCCTCTTTCAGTTCTTAGCCAGCCTGCCTACAGCCATGTGCTGTATCTAATAATCTTATTTGTTTCTTGGGGAAGAGTTCCTTGAAGCCCTTTCCCTTTTTTTGGAAAACTGAACTGTACAGGTTCACCTGTATTCACTCCTGAAACTGAACAGACACACTTTCATGCATATATTTCGTACTGACTTAATGTTTCTTCATTTTATTGTTCAGAGAAGACGACAACTTGAACAGAAGAAAATTGAAGAGGAAGAGGAGGAAATCAGACAGTTCGGTCAAGCTAAAAAGGTAACAGTCGTAAATTTAATTTCATACTCTGTAGATATCACCAGAAAGATAAGTTCCATTTTAAATGGCCGCGAATGGCAAGTAACCCAACTATAAACTTGTTCACTTACTGTACAATCCTCATCGCTCACAAATGCCTATTGGGGTTCAGTTTTATCTGTGGTTTAAATAAAGCTGATTAACTCTAAAAATTATCAAGTAAACAGCTAAATGAACATCTTGGAACTTTTTCTTTGTTATACAGAAAATGGCAAAGATGCGTAAAGCGAAGGAAACAGAATTATTCAAGTGAGTACTAATCCAAAGATGCGTACAAAATACTTGATGAAAAACCGGAGTGAAAGTGTCGTTTTTAACATTTTTGGCAAACGATCTAAAACGTGTGTTGTTCTTCTTGCAACCACATTTATATAGCTGCAGATCGGTCATCTCTGTTCTTAAACATTCGTTAAAGAAGATTCGCTTTGATTTCTCGTAACAATTTTATTCAAGTACACCGCCCGATAAATGTTGTCGCATCTGCTACACTGTTCTCAAAATACTGTCTCTTTTTTTCAGTGCCTTCCAAGAACACACGGAGCGGATGAGAAAGAAGCTAGCTAACCAAAGACAACAAGAAGTTGATGATGAAGATGACCGGATAGCAAAGGCTGTGGCGGATAGGGAGAGGAAGCGTGATGTATGTGCCTGTTTTCTTATAACGTTGTAAAAAGTACGTTTTTAAGTGTCAATGTAATTAGCACGAAAGTACTAATTGAGGACACCGTTTGTCTCCTATTGGAGACGGGACCGCCATTTTTCGCGGTCATCCGAGCCACGCAAATATTCAGCCGTTTGCAGGGCAAAGGAAATACCTTCATTTATCAATTATTTTTAGATCTCTACCGACTGAGTTATTATCAAGTAAAGAAACTTGCCTGTTGTGAAAAAAAAAAGCCCACCTGACAACGGACCCGTCGATATGTCTGTGAGGTGGAATTGGATTTTTAAAATTCAATCCATGAAGTTATCTTTCATAGGAAATCTAAAAGTATAGTGTTAAATCTTTCTTATGATATGAAAATTTTCCTGAATGTTTTTAGGCCGAAGAAAGAGAAAAATACGAGGCAGACATGAAGGAGAAGAGGGAAATTCACGATCACAGAATTCACATGGTAATAACTGTAGTTATTATTACGTACTACCTAAAGTAACCAAGACTAAAGCAAGAAAAATATGTACGGCTCTTCATCTTTGAGCATCTTCATTTTTTATCCTTATTTTTCTTTCCATTTTAGATGAAAGAGAATGAACGCCGAGCAAGAGAAGAAGCAAGCAAAGACCGTGAAATACTTCGCAAGAGAGTCGAATCTGATAAACTGGTACGTAAACACTCAGGTTCCTTGAGAATAACATGCAAAGGCTAAAAAAGTGTAACCTGCGTAGCAAGCTCTCCATTTTGGGATATCGTGAAAAGTAGACGCGCTAGAGGCACGCGATAGGAGTCCCGAAAGGGGGGAGCGGTCCCTCGCGGCCTCGCCGCTCGCTCACGCGTTCTTGCGCCGCTCGCTTCTCTCGCCCAAATATGAGAGCTTGCTCTGAGGCTAGCGTAGCTGCGAAAACGAGCGTCTTTGTCCTCGCGGCTTCACCGCTCATAAGCGCGCTAGAAATACCGCCAGATACGCAGGCTAAAAAAGTGCAATTTTTTTCAAGGCTTCACCGTAATTTTTAGGGAGTTATTATAACTCCAAAAATGGAGTAAAAATTTTAGGTACAGGATAACCCCTTTTTTGGGGTTATTTTAACTCCTAATTTAACTCCGAATTTGGGGTCATTTTTACTCCTGAAAAAGAGTTCTTTTTACTCCCACTCTGGAGTTAAAATTACTCCGAAATGGGGTTATTTGTACTCCTTACATGGGTTGTTTTTACTCTTTTTGGAGTTAATTTAACTCTGAAAGTGGAGTAAAAATTTTAGGTACAGGATAACTCCGCTTTTGGGGTTATTTTAACTCCTCAATATCTGGGGTCACCTTTACTCCTGAAAAAGAGTTCTTTAAACTCCTTTTTGGAGTTAAAGTAACTCCACGAAAAATAACTCCACTGTAAGGAGTTAAATTAGCCCCACTAGAGGAGTTATTATAACTCCCTGAAAATTACAGTGTTCTTCTCTATTCTGAGACTTAAGATGCTAACACTTTTTGCCGTCGTTTGCTTTTTTAGTACCACATGAAACAGGAGGAAAAGAGATCAGAGCAACTAGGGGAAAACAAGAAATTGAAAGAGTTCCAAACACAGCAAATTGTAAGTAGAGTTGTCGCGCCGTTGTGACCTTGCAGAAATTTTACACATTCATTTATCGATTATTATCCCAGTGGCAGCCGTTTATTGTTGAAAAGGACAGTCTTCAACGCATTATGCACGATATAAGTAATCAAAAAGCGCGGCCGCCGTGTCGAGTCAGCCTGGTAAAGCAGGCCAACCTGATTAACCAGTCTGGCTTTCCTCTAGCTAGTATCAGGCGTTTTCGCCCTCCAAATAAACAGGCCGTAATTGGTAAGGTCTTTGTTGGCAATCCATGGGTTTACACATCTTAATACATATATTTCGACAGGCTGAATTAAAAGACCGTAAACATCAACTTAGGGAAGCGGAATTAGACCTGGATAAACGCAACGAAGCCCTACTCAGGTCCGAAGAGGTTCAGTTCCAGGAGTACGCAAACAAGGTCATTTCAGAGGCCAAGGAGAACGGCCGTAATCCGTACCCACTCATCAAGGCCTCTCAGGAGGGCCCCGGGGGTGGAAGAGGCCCCAAATATGAAGGCAAACAAGGTCTTAGACCGAGCTATCTTGTGTGTGATGGGACAGGGGTACAGTTGCCTAATTACCACAGTGGTACCGTACAAGGCTCCCATACCAAGATCTACGGCCGTCCAGCAGAAAGTATGAAGAGACTAGGCTTTACTTGGTGAAATTTTTGACAACTTCTACGACGAATTTTGACTTGTAAATAGTCCTTCTTATTCACTGAAGTAATTTTCTCGCACGTATTTTTAACAAGATAACTCATTCAACCTCGAGAAATATTCCTGCTGCGCTGGACTTTAACATCGTTTACACTACATTCATCAGCGATTGTTTCATGTATATTACAGGGTGTAGAAGTTTGCTGGCGTATATTGTTTGTAAATAAAGTGAGGGTTAAAACACTTGTTCCCTTTATTGTCTTAATTTTAATCGTGTTGTCGTCCGATGTTATCTGTCATACTTGGAAATAAACCTAAATCAGCCCCACTGGAGAAGTGGGGAAAAGCCCCACTGGAAAAGTCAGGTGTTTACAATAAAGACTCCACTCTAACCAGCACGCCACCTTTTGCACTCAAAGCGCCACCGGCATGTAACATCAGAGGAACTTGTGTCTTGGCTGACCGCACGAACTTGTACTTCGACAAGATTTTGACGAGAGCGATCTTGATCTCCAGCAGGGCAAACCTCATGCCGATACAATTTCGTGGCCCACCCCCAAAGGGTAAGAACTGAAAGGGATGGCAGGTGTCTCTCCTTGCACCTTGGAATCTCTCGGGGTCAAACTTCTCCGGGTCTTCCCAGGCATCGGGATCTGGATGCAAGGCATATATGGGAATCACAACCTCGGTTCCAGCAGGAATATGAATTCCGCTAAGGTCAAAATCTTCATGGCATTCACGGTTGACATGGACCGCGGGAGGACACAAGCGCTGGGACTCTTATAACACAGTCGAGGTAATCAATATTCTTGACAATATCGTAAAGACATCCCTTCTTTGCGTTGGTCTCCAAGGCCTCTCTGATCTGTGTTCTCAGTTTCTCTTGCATTTCTGGGTTCACAACCAAGTGGTACAGAGTGAAAGCCAATGTGTTGCTTGAAGTTTCGTACCCCGCCAAAAGAAAGACAACAGACTGAGCTACTACCTCTTCATCTGATAGTCTGTTCACCCCTTCCGTCGTAGTTTCATCAGTGGCATGCATCATGAGATCTAACAAGTCTTTTCGTCCTGAAAATCCCTGTTGGCGACGTGCTTTCAAGATTTCTGTGGCGACTTCTTGAAAATACTCTGGTCTTCGTCGACGCAGCATTGCTAGAAACCGGAACAAAGCCGGTCCAAATGGCAAACGGCTTAAGTACAGAATGATTTGCGGAGTCGAAAAAAATTTTTCCCTTCTGTTAGCAGTTCATTGTCCTTACCGTTTTGGACCTCCGCCTCCAAGCCAAAAGCTGTAGATAATATCACCTCCAGGGTCAGCTTACTAAACCAATCCAGCATGTCCACACTTTGATCTGTACAGAAATATCGTAACATTGATATGGTGTTGGTAATTTCTACTTATTTCTAAAGTTCTCTGATACTTTGACCCTCCATGACGTTGGTAGGTGACAAGGCCCTATTAAAATAGCGTGTTTTAGCTGTTCAGATAGCGGGGACGGCTTCAATTCACGATTCTGTCCACAATCTGAACGTCTGGAACAGGCTACTGGTGTGGGAGGCTACTTGCACTTGGGCCTTTAACATTTTAACGTTCTCGTGCTCCTTAATTCCTTTCGCTCCACCCCAAACCCCACCCACTAAGAAGTCAGCCATGCAGGCTACGCTATAGTGATACTCACTGTTTACAAACCTTGTTTTTGTTGTTCAAATGTGTAACGAAGGTGAAAAAAATAACCCCTTAATTCCAATTTGTTTCAAGAACCAACAATACGCTTCTGGTTGACACAGTATCAATGGATAACGTGAGTATAGCTACATCTGGCACCCAACCCGGCCTACTTTTTTGAAAGTCTACCTAAAATCTAAAATAGGCGACTGTTAAACAGTCTACCTCTTCTTGAACACTCTTTCTCGAATAAGCACCGCATCTCTGGCTAGAAATGGTTGCAAAATACCTCTTATTGCTTGACGACTCTGTAGGGAAAGAGGTAATAGAGAATCTTAACTCACCCGAATCAGCGATTTCGCAAAGTTTCACCACAAGAGTGTCACACGATTTTTCAATCAGCGGAACCATCAACTTCATCTTTCCTGCACTGAAAGTGGGTGTCAGCGTGTTGCGGATCCGCTTCCATGTAACACTTGAAAACGGTTTCGGAAGTTAGGAAACTCTTTAACCATAATTTGCTTCACCAGCACCGGATCGGCAACGACAAGCGATGGCCTACTTCAGAAACAGAAAGAGAACACTTTGCCGTATTTCTTGATGTAATCAAGGTGCATCTCATGCAGTCCATTGCATTTTCTTAGTTCAAGAAAGTTTCCAAAATATGGAATTGGTTTGGGTCCTGGAACGTTTAGTTTCGTGAGGTCTGCGAAGCCTCGCGTTCCATGCCCGTAGAGAAACAGCACCACGAGGACAAAAAGAGAAGCAACAGCGGCGGAATGAAGCAGATACCACGAAGATAGAAACTGCTGTAGTAATTCCACCATTGTGAAGTACCTAATGTGTAATGAAATTGGAGAGACAAGAAAAGAACTAATTCTAGCAAAACAATACTGAGATTAACCGCTTCTCTGATCGCTCAAGACAATCTGAGTAATAGACAATAGCGATTGCAAATGAAGTTGCATTTGTTTAAATTGATTTGCAACAAACCTTCCTTGTGACCTTCGTTCACTGAATCAATGAGGCAAATATCCACAGCTGTAGCAATGAACTTTGTGCAGCTAAAATCAGCATTTAAGCGGTGGCGGACTTCAGTTCCTTCCGTGATCATAACATTGTGAAATTCTTGGTGAGGGTGTGCCGCCCGTTTCTCCAAGATCCTGACCCTATTTCAGACCAAGAAACGTCATTTTTCACACCCGTTTTCAGATCCATTTCGAATTCCCATATTTCTCTCTCTTTCTTACTCATTTGGAATTGAAACAATAAATACGCTCATACACTCCCGTAGTTTCCTCGAAAACCCGACCCGATTCCAGACTATATATATATCTTTAATCCTTTTGCGACTAATAACAGGGGAAAAACGTATTTATCATTAAACTCTGAACTTGACCCAGCCTATAACTATTATAACAAATTACTAAATTATTTGGATCAGTGCAGTTACTACCAAGAAGAATCTTTCAATAACTTAATTGTTCACTTGAACTCAAACAACATGATATTTTCTGTGTTTCATTTAAATATCAGAAGTCTAATTAATATGATTATTTTCAAGCATATATAAATGTGTTGAAGCGCAAATTTGTGTCATTGGTTCATCAGAAAAATGGCTAAACAAAGAAAATAACAATAATTATCCTTTACCTAACTACAATAATAAAGGATTAAATTAACTGCAAAAACCATGGACGAAGATCCTGCTAGTTGTAAACGTTGGAAAATATAAAGAACCAAGAACGAGAAGTCCAAAGACTACTGCAAAGCTGATTTAAAACAACGTGTATTGTTTTTTATAACAATATTTCGGCTGCTAGAAGGGGATCTTCCATGAAAAGCCCTGGCTAGTAGCCTGATAAGATCTCCTGCTTGATAACAAATACTATGTAATCTACAGAAAAAGTGTATGAAATGGGGAAAAAAAAAACTATTAGAGAAAACACAAAAAATATATATATATATATGCATGCATATACTCATGCCTCGGTTATATCGAGAAAACGTTTTCCCGGTAGATCTAGAAGGGTCACCAGCCTGTCTGAGCCACCCTGGGCGAGCTAACTTTTCCTATTTGGTAAACTAATTACATGAGAAACTCCGAAAAGATGGCTCGGCTAGAAGAGTGACCCACCTAGCCAACCAACCAAACAAACAAAAAATCCACATGACGTCGCAATAAAACAATGGCACACGCGGGAAAACTTAAAGAGAAAAGAGGTGATATTCGTTTTCAACGTTATTTCGTCCCATTTTTTTGATCGAGTTGACATCGAAGGTTTCTTTCGTAAAACGATCAGAAAGGTACAACAACAACAACTACTACTATAATTTATTGTACTTATAGTAAAAACAGAATTAATACCAATGGTAATGTTACCACCCCAAACCTTCAGTATTTAAAGTCTAAAAGATTGCCATCAATCCTACAGTACAGTCTCTACTCTAACAAGCACGCCATTTTTAGCACTCAAAGTTGCACCGGGATGTAATACGACGGGAACTTGCGTCTCCGGTGATCGCACAAACTTGTACTTCGACAAGATTTTGACGAGAGCGATCTTGATCTCCAGCAGGGCAAACCTCATACCGATACAATTTCGTGGCCCACCCCCAAAGGGGACGAATTGGAAGGGATGGCGGGTGTCTTTTCTTTCACCACGGAATCTCTCGGGGTCAAACTTCTCCGGGTCCTCCCAGGCACTTGGATCATGATGCAAGGCATATATGGGAATCACAACCTCGGTTCCAGCAGGAATATGGATTCCGTTAAATTTATAGTCTTCACGGCATTGTCGATTAACGGCGGCCGCAGGAGGACATAAGCGCTGAGACTCCTTTACGACACAGTCGAGGTACTCGATGTTCTGGGCTATTTCGTAGAGAGGTTTCTTCCTTGCACTGGCCTCCAACGCATCTCTGATTTCTTCCCTAAGTTTGTCTTGTAGATCTGGGTTCACGGCCAAGAAGTACAGGGTGAACGACAAGGTGTTGCTGGACGTTTCGTATCCTGCCAGAAGGAAAATAATACACTGAGCTACAACTTCCTCATCAGACAGCTTGCTAATCCCTTCTGTTGTTGTTTCATCAGTGGCGTGCATCATAAGGTGTAGCAGGTCCTTTCGTCCTGTAAGTCCCTGTTGACGGCGTTGATTAATGATTTCTGTAACAATACCTTCAAAATACTTGGGTTGAAAACCTCCACCGCTAACTAATCTTATAAGACGGAATAGAGCATTTCCAAATGGCAAACGGGAAAGATGCCGTAGGATTGAAGGCACCTGGAAAAGTTTCTTCGCTTCTTGCAGCATTTCGGTGTTTTCACCTTTTTGAACCTTCGCGTCCACACCAAAAGCTGTAGATAATATCACCTCTAGGGTCAGCTTACTAAACCAGTCCAGCATGTCCACACTTTGACCTGGAAATACATATCGTAAAATTGTTACCACTTAATATCAAAGCCCCAATACGTCCCATTAATATGGCTCTTGATAATAAATATTCCTCATATATGCAGGGAAGCAGGGGAGGGGGAGGGGGTGTAATATTCACTGTTTCATTCAACACGTCAGAAATTAGTTCAGTATCGGTTCGCTTTGCAGCTTCTGAGAGGCATTCTTAATAAGCTAATTCCCGGATGCTGTTTTCAAGGCCGGAGCCGGTAACTCACGGTACTTTCAATAATCTTGTCAATTTTCGTTTACTTCAAACTCTTTTTAAACTATATTTCTATATTTTACTATATTAAACAAGAATATCATTGAGACAATTATCTCCACGCGCCGTAAGCCGAGTCACACTTTCATTCAAATTAAGACCAACTTAGAAAAAGCGAGACTTCGTATTCCAGGTTCAGAAAATGCAGTCGCCACTTTGCCCGTCTTGGCGTATTTCTCTTGAGTTCTACATACAGTTAGTCTGAGTCATAGTTATTTGATGTGTTGATCGTAGCGTGACCAGCCCCCTACAGAAACCGGAAACGAAAATGTGTCCCAGTATCATCATGCAGTGACATTTATTTGGAGAGTTCTATTTTTATTGCTGGCTCAATAAAACCTTTGGTTTTACCAGTTACTAAAAAGAAAATATAAACTCACCTGAATCAGCAACTACCTCAAGTTTTTCCACTAGCGTGTCACAAGACGTCTCTATAAGAGGCACCATCAACTTCATCTTTCCTGCGCTGAACGTGGGTGTCAGCGTATTACGGATCCGCTTCCACCTTCCATCCCGAGCGTTGAAGACGTTCATGGAGAACACCTTACTCAGTTGTTGGATCTGGAAGCGATTTTGGAAGTTGGGAAAGTCCTTTACTAATATTTGCTTCAGCAGTTCCGGATCACCGACAACAAGCGACGGCCTACCACCCAGACAAAGGGCAAAAACGTTGCCGTATTTCTTAATGTAGTCAAGGTGCAGCTCATGTAGTCCATTGTATTTCCTTACTTCAAGAAAGTTTCCAAAAAAAGGAATCGGCTTGGGTCCGGGGACATTCAGCTTCTTGAGGACTGCAAATCCACGAGTCGCCCACCAATATAGAGAAAGAATCAGAAAGATTAAAACAGAAGCGATCGCAGCAGCAGTAGCAGGATGGCCGAGGTACTCCGAAGATAGAGCCTGCTGCAGTAATTCCATCATTTTAGTGAAGTATCTTGTGATCTTGGAGACAAAAAAGGAACCAAGTTATCACAACAACTGCTTAAACAGCATGCTCCTCTACAAGTTTTAAAGTATTGCGTTTTGTTTACAGTGACAGAGGCATTCTAGATCGGTCTCTAGACAGTCTAGTCATTGCAAATTAATTTCAGTACGTAAGAAATTAATTTGTGCAACGTACCTTTCTTTAATTGGTTTCGCTTCCTCACACTTAATCAGTGAACCGTACAAGGATGTGCCAAGGCTGAACAGTGAGATTTTTATGAACAGCGCCGCTTTTTGGTGACAAAATCAGGGCAATAATTGCGAAATTTTCAGTGACGTGATACAAAATGACCTTATTTGGACTTCGCCCTGCTTTGTCATGCTTCGTATGTAATTTTATGTTCTGTTGTGTTATCATAATCACAACTGACCTTTTCTGGATTCTGCATATCATTAAAACCAGCGAGGCTCAGATCATACAGTCAAATACTGTGACATTAACTTCGCCGTGAAATACCACGCTCTAAGCTTGTTGCATTTCCTCAGGACGTTCGACCAAAGGAGGCCCTACAAAAGTTGGGAGGAAGGGAGAGGGTGCCGGGTTGAGATTACTCATGTCCTCCGTAACACACCAGACGAATCTCAGTTAGCCTGCTAGCAATGGGCGCTCAGGTTCAGGATATTTGTGTCACCTATTGGGTCACTCAGAAGGGCTTTCTTGAAAAAGAAGCGCTGATCATGATCGTTCTCAAGGCTACCCAGCCACAATTTTGAGAAGGCACCCTTCTAAGGTTACATTTGGCTCTTACCCCTTTCAGCCCTAAGAATGATCAGCATCAAATTTCTCCTTGTAATATCAATGCTTTGTAAGACACAGTGGTCATGAGCATTACGGACATGATCACACAAGATGAATTTGCTTGATGTTTTATCAACTTCTCCCCACTACTTCTGTAGGAAATGAATAAGGGCAACAAATGAGAATTCAAATTTTGATCCCAGGGTTTAAAGGGTTAAAAAGAGAAACGAACCGCCAGCATGCAGAAAATTGCTACCTTTTGTCACTTGTGAATCAGTCAGCGGGCTTTATCTACAATGTAGCATTCAGAAAATACAGATGGGGATATGGGACAGCATCCCACGGGGAATGTAAGTGAGGAATCTCGTCCCCAGGGCGCATTTCCCTGGCTTTGGAGGTGGGGCTCCCCACGACCAAAAATGTCCCGCCGGGTTCCAAAGTCTAGATTCCCTTATGATGGGGCGAGAGGTAGTTATATCACTCTGTCCCACGTACGAACCTTAACCGTCACAAATTCATTGTCAATATTGAGGTTGATCGCCGCTTAATTTCATGCAGCGTTTCATTTTTTCTGTCATAATAAAAAACTTAAAACAGATTTTTTCTTATTAAATAAGACAGAAGGCCTTGAAGTCTTTTTGTCAGTCACTTAAAGATCGTCCAACAAATTTACACTGATAACGTCAACGAAAAAAAAATTACCAACCTCTATAAACATGTTTTATACGTACTGATATCGGACCATAAAGATTTAACCAGATGTCGTGAAATGTAATGTACATCACCTCGCATGTTAACTAACCTCAATTATTAAGAAGTCTGATTACTTTGTGGAATAAAGCATCTTTTATTGTTGCTGATTGTGATGATTAGGCAACTAATCCTGTATTATATGTACTTAATGAGTAACTCCCTAGTTTTAACAGAAAAAACCTACATCTTATTCAGTTAATCAACGGACTGGAAGAATTCTGGCAACTTCTTTTTGCGGGCTTTATGTTTAGGATAAGTTCATTCGATGAAAAATTCAAAAAACGTGTGCTGAAAGTTGTGGAATTTATTTGTTTTTAAGGCATTACATTTAAAGGATAATTTTTAGAAATTTATTTGGACAGAAAAATTAGTCTAACTTGGCTATAAATAGTAATCATGGCTTAGCGTATTCATTTCTCTGCCTACAGGTGTAGCTCGATCGATCAGATCTATCACAGCTCCAATCAGATAATGATGTATGACATATACTCAAGCAGCTGTTAGAAATCGGTAGCTGTTGAGAACTGTCAATTGCTTATCAATTACCTGGAACTGCAATTTTGTTTTTAATAGCAGAAAGTTCTCAATCAATTTCATGAGGGCCTCTTTTATTCAACAAATAAATTATTAATTGAAAACACCTAAATTTGCTTATATGAACACCAGCAATCTTTTCACACCATTTTATTGCAATTTATGCTTTGCAGTGGCGATATTGGTTTTGGTTATGATGACTATGTTACGGTTATGGCCCTAAATCATCTTCTACGTTACTTCTTGCTTTTGTCTACTATTCACCTTTCAAACAGTTCTTGCTCATCAGGAATATGCGAGAGAATGTCTTTTTTGCGAAATGTTGGCAACAAACAAAACTCTTTTCTCCATGGCTACGTAATTGAGACTATGAGCTTACCCACCTTGGACGAATGTTTCCACATGTGTCTTAGAAAATGCCAGTGTCTCTCATTTAACTTTAACGACCTCAACAAAACCCAAAATTGCGAGCTTAACGACGCAACCTTCAAAATGTATCCAGAAGCACTGAAAGAAAAGGAAGGCGCAACTTATTACGAACCTGCCAGGGAATATTTAGACAAAAATGTGAGTATATTTTTCATTTTTTATCATGATCATGCGCACAAATGGAAATCAGATATTTTTTGTAGTAGATAAATGTTTCACCGCACTTAGTCTACAAAAAAACCGATTCTGTACTTAATTAAAACATATTCGTACGAGGCAGCTTATATGTGGAGTGTAATTTGTAGGCACCGAAATTTCTCGATAGAAACATTTGATCATGTTTAATTTAACGGCCTTCTTAATTGCGCATTGCCTCCTCAAATTCAAATATGTTAATTCCTTAACAACTTTTGTATTGTTAAGCCCACTAATTTTTCTAACATTTGGGACAAACTGGAGATCGTGCATCTTTAATAGATGAAATGGTACAGTGTGCGCATTAAACATGTTACTACCAACGACGCGGACGGCAACAAGAACGCCAAAAAAAATTATTTTAAAACAATTGGGTTAATAAGCAAAACTACAACTTTGCACATGCATCACGCTTTTTTGTACATTTCTCTCCTGTTTTTGCACGACTACGACGTGAAAATGCCTAATTTTGCGTTTTATGGAGGACGTAAACAAGCAACGACGACACTTTCTGAGCTTGGCTATGGTCCCTTGAAATTCAGGTTCAGGAGGGTTCGCCTACATTTGACAGAGTAAGTGGGTAGGAATAATCGCTTTAAAGACTAAAGGAACGCAAATTCACTTTTTAAGCTACGTTCTCGTTGCCGACGCGTCGTTGGATCTTAAAGTTCCTTCTATTTATATTCGTTGTCTCCGGCATTTATAGACGGACGTATAGCGTTAAGGACGTCCTGTGGGAGAGAAATACTTGATCTATTAGCAAAGGCCTGAAAGTCGATTAATCTGAAATAATTTTTTCTAGGGATTTTCTCGTGCAACCTGCTCCAATCACAACTGTCATAACAAGTGCTGTGAGTTCAGCCCCTGCCAACACGGAGGATCGTGCCATGAAGTGTGTGACGTCACAAAGAGAAGATTCCACTGCACATGTCCGCCCGCTTTCAGCGGATACAAGTGTCAATACGTGCTTCGGTCATGTAAAGACGTCATGAAGTATAAAGATGTGAACATCAAAGGCATTTACGAAATTGTGGGGAACAGTAACAATTCGTTCCCAGTCTACTGCGACTTTGGTTCCGAGCCCGGTATGGCATGGACTTTGATTCAGTCTCATTCCTTAGGAAATAATGGCGCGTTCGTAGGAAAACCATTTTACCAGCACGACATGCCCATCAATCAGGATACACTTGATTGGAGTAGCTACCGTCTCTCGACGTCCCGTATAAAGTCAATTCAAAAAGTGTCCACTCACTGGCGAGCCACTTGTAATTTTATAACCGATGGAGTGGACTACCGGGATTACTGGAGAGTTTCCTTGACTAATTTGGATCTTCTTGTGAAGCCTCCAACCCCTGACTTCTGTCTTTTCTCTGAGTTTGTTAACGTGCGTGGAAATGAGTGCACCAACTGCACGGTTTTATCTGCGTATTCTGATGTCTGGACTCTGCATATGGACAGCTGGTTTGGTTCATCTAAAGGCTGTGAATTTAATGGACTGTCAGGGGCAGTGTATAACGAAGACAACTTCGGAAACTACGAAGCAACTAACCCCGCTTTCCGCTGTACCTCTTCACAAAGTTCGACGAGTCAGATCTGGCTTGGAAGTTTTTAGGTGTAGATAAAAATGCAACGTAAAACTCTCTTCTCTTCCCATTCGCTGTCAGTACATATTGGAAGTTGTGTCAGTACACCTACACAACGTCTATCACCTACATATCGTCGGTAAGCATATGACGAAAAGTCGCAATTACAATGAAACCGTTTCTGCGCCCACGAAATACCAATGAAAACTTAAAGCCTTTTTGCATAACACGCCAATCAATAAGAAACTATTTGATGAGAACTTACAGCTACCCAATTGAACATGTTGAATGTCGTTGTCACGTATGAAGTCCCGTCCAAGCCCTCTCTGCTGACCGACGATCAACCTGATGATCCAACCGATGACGTCAACTCCCGTTTGAAGATTGTAGAGTGGCAATGAAACACTTGAACTCATTAGACGCTTTGTATTATTGTCACCGACAGTCCGCTCTTTTCCGCAGAGTCAATTTTTGAAGCAAGGACCGGCTTACAAAAAAGAAGGACCGGATCCTAATAAAAGATCTAGTCAGCAATAACTGAAAATATCAAACAAAAGAAGCAGGGCTGATTTTACAGTCGGGAATATGTATATATTTCTACCAATATTTCGGAAGGCACGGCCTTCCTTCTTCAGGGTCTTACATATAATGAAGAGGTTAAGCTAAGACGTTACAATTTGAAAATTAAAGAATAGCGTGCAATATGATTCTATAATAACATATGAAAATTGAAATGAAAAAAAAAATAAAGTGAACGTTGAAAACAAAACCGTTGAAGTAGTGATTGAAAGATATTTGAAACACTGATATAAAAATAGTATAAATAAATGATAACAAATAGAAGAAATAAAGACTGTAATACATTTCATCTTTCTTATTCATACCTAATAGGTCAAGAGTTTTACCTCTCTCGATGAGGTATGCTTCTCTAGCTTTTCGTTTACTGTCCCTCGTAGATTTAATAAGCAGAGACCTGTTTTTGTGAGGGAGGAGAGAGAGGACAGTCGGTGTTCTTGAATTCCTATCCTGCGAATTTAATTTAACCCTTTTAGCCACAGAGTGAGAATGAAGGACATGATCACACGGCATATTAAATTTGTTTGATATTATAACAAGTCTCACCCCCCCCCCCCCTTTGTGGGGGGGGGGGAAGAGGAGAGGTGTGGTTTTTTAATTCCTTTCCCGCGAATTTAATTTAACCCCTTTAGCCACAAAGGGAGAAAGAAAGACATTACCACACGGGATATTAAATTTTTTTTATATTTTAAAAAGTCTCCCCCCCCCCCCCCCCCAATTATTTATGTCGGCCAGGTCAATGAGAATAAGATTTTAAAGGTTAAACCATGGCAAAGCGTACCCCTGCCCTTATACTTAATCAATAATTTGATTATTTCAAACGGGCAACGACGTCTCTCATATTCCCCCTGGGGATACTCCTTGGAATCCTTAGTGAGGGTGTGCCCCCCCGTATTTCAGACCAAAAAATGTCATTTTCCACAACCGTCTTCTAACTTGACCTTAAAGCAGAAATTATGTTATCTTTACTGGAATAAGAGCACAAACAAAAAAATTCTTCAAATCCATTTCGAATTCCCATGTTTCTCTTTCTTTCTTACTCATCTGGAATTGAAACGATAAATACGTTCATACACTCCCGTAGTTCCCTTGAAAACCATATCCGATTCCAGACCAAAATGGGCAAAGTATATACCCGTTTTCAGAGCAAAACGGCGCAAAAACCCTACCCGATGGGGCGGCACATACCGATACTGCTTATTTATGGGAGTACCCCCCGGGCGATATTCACATTGTTAGTTAAAATTTTTTGTCAGCTCATCATTCTATTAAAACTCGATAGAAATGACTTCATATGATAGATAGCAATGTAATCCATCCAAAGTGTCAAAGTTTTTTTCAATCCGGCGGAATACTTAATATTTAAACCAGACGGTATATATCACTTCAGATCTCGATGAGCGAGTCCATCCTGACATACTCGAAGGTCTGACTCCTCCAGCACAAAAATAGTTTTAATAGTATTAGTACTACTCATTTTACTTCTATCTAGTATTTTCGCTTTGGCAATGCTTTAAATTCTTGTGGTAATGCAAATAGCTATTGATGTTTAGGCAATCAGAACGAATTGATTATTTGGAATTGTTAAATTCCCTTCTCCGTATCAATCCCAACGGGTCTCAATTTTTCTTGTGCTGTTTGACGTTATCTTTATACATGTACATTACGTTGCAACAAAACTCTTTTCTACCAGCTTTTAGAATAATAAATTTGAACCTCCAGAATGATAATCCCGACTATTTCCTTGAAATACTAATTACCTGACTCTAATACAATATCAGAAACAGCTGATTGATTCCTAAAATGCTTGCAGGGCAAGTTGCACACATTATGGCGCTCGACCACATCCGGGTTTTTTCGCGTTTTGGAGTTTTCACTTAAATCTTGACTGCCTATTTAGCCTTGAAACCCCTGAATGATTACAGAGGGGTAAGAAAATGTCGAAACTAGTAGAAATACACAAAAGTGGCTCAAGTGGCGTCATCAAAATATCACACTATCATTGATTTTAAAGTTTATAGAAAATATGTCAGACACAATGCTCTTATATATAGCTCATCAATTTTATTGACACGAAAGTCCTATATATATAGTACAAAGATCAAACCATAAATTCTCCAAATTAGAATAAATTAAGGCTTTTTGTCTCAGTTTGGAGAACTTATTGATTTCATCTTACTTTGAGAACCTAAGGTCATGCGATGGTAGAACAATATATTTTTGCTTGGCCGAGAAATCACAGATTTAGTTCATGATGATCTCAAGCGATAGCGTGAAATCATGTTGGTGGTAAAGCGAAGGGATTCTTACTTGGCGAGTATCGAAGAAAGAAATTTTTACCAAGGTAAATTCTTTGTCTTCTTGTTAGCTTTGCATTGAGTCTTTAAACTGGTATTTCGTTGGTGCATGACGAGTTTGTGTTTTTAAACGCAAACTGAGCAAGAGAAACTCGAAAAGGGCAAACGTCGTCACAAAATACTAAGACTAATCCGGTACTATTCGGCTGTTATAATCACACCTTGCTCCGGCACTATGCCATGATTGGTCAATATATTTGCTACAATTTCGTTTAGTTACAACTCTAAAAACTTTTCAACTTGCTTCAACAACACCACTGCTTTTAAGTTATTTGTATACAACAAGTCCAAGTGTTTGTCTTCAAGACTTCCACTTTGCTGGCCGGATTCGAGGGCCTTAATATATATATTGCATTTCTTACCTTAGCTTCAAAGAACGTATTACAACCGGGGATTTAAAACGTACTACAAAACAAGGGGAACTCGCATGAAAATAAACCCTGACTTAAATATTCATGCATACTTGAGAGTCGACTGTTAACTGTTTGATGAACACTAAGGCTTTCAGTCTACCATCCCTTATTTGCAGTATTTTGCCTTCAAACGCAATAGCCGAACCCCTGTCCCCGCCAGACCCTAAGCTCATTCAAATCAAAACATGTTTGTTCATGTTAATATGCTAGTGCCCTCGACTCATTCAAGAGCCAAGCATTTTCTGCTTCAGAGAATTTGAGTAGTTTGGAACGACAGAGTATAGAATAGTTTAGGGAATAGAGATATTTCGAAAAATGGCTCAAGCCTTCTTTGATTCTAAACTTTCAGAGTACTGGGCCCGCGATGTGTCATTCCTGAGAGCCACTAAGTTTTTGTTGTCACCTTAAAGTTCTCAAAGTCTTTCAATATCGCTAGATCCCATAGCCTGGGGCCCAAAACCTGATTAGGCTCCGCACACCATTATAAAATTCCGGTTTTTCGCCGTCGCCCCCCTTAAACTTGTTTTCTGTTCAGACGCAAAATGAAAACAAACGTCTGAATTATTGTTAACTTTCCGTTGTGCTTCAACATGCCTAAGCTTGCGCTCAGACAGATTTTTCTTAAACCTCTTGAGTCTTGACCCAGTATAGTTGTACGTGATGGTGAATGATCGATGGTGGTTATGGTCGCTTCTGGTTGTGCATTATACTGTGGGAGTTACCTTACCTCCCCAGCATTTTCCCCTTAAAAACATGGGAAAGAGCTCCTCCCATTTTCTATAGGGAAAGCCCTTGGGATGGGGTGAATATCACAGATTTTTTTTAATCTCGCCATGCTTGCCGCGATCGCGACGAGAAGCTTCGGGGTTGTTCGCATCCGCCACATCTTCGGCCGAATGAAGGCCACTACAACGACTTGACCAAAACCGGAAACTGCGCATGAAAACTCTCTGGCACCCAGCAGGGGTATGTGCGAGTGGGCACTATACCATATTTTTCCTTTATCAGTGGAATCAGTTATCAATACTGAGAGGGCGTCTGGTTGTCCTGAAGCTATTGATGATGCGGATAAAAAGTGAGGAGGATTGTTTTTGTCAAGACAGGATTCTGAAAGTTTCAGTCATAATCATCATCGTTGGTTCTTTCCGTTCAGGTGGAGAACAGAGCAGGAGAATTTTCTGTTCCCTGATTAACTGTATTTTCAGTCTTCATAGTGGATGTGGGGAGCTCTTTTCTAATCAGAGCCATTTGAATGTGGGTGGGGAGACGACAGTTTCGTCGACTCTGTTTTTCTTTTAGAGAAAATCCCGTGACTGGTGCGCATGTTAACGACGTGGATCGCGTGCAGGTTATCCCGATAAAACAGGCACGTGATGTAGAGTGCGTGCTTTTTAACAATACCGAGCCATAAAGAAGTCGTCCTATCCTGTCTATAAACCACAGCGCACACCGATTTCTTTGTCTATTTATTGGAGTAATGTTTTATAATGTAAATATCTTTCTAACTGTTGAAAATATTGATAATATGTGAACGATGTACGCCTAAATCTTTGCACTGTTTATTATTCGGACACCTTCCAACCGTGGTTCTCCACTTCCGGTAGAGCGGGTTGTGGATAATAACTTATTCAGTACCTGTTACCACGAGAAGGCAATTCGCTTCTCAAGAATTCAAACTGTTTTTCATATGCTTATCATATGCTCAGTTTTAAGTGTCAATCAAGGTGACTAAGAGTGCGGTAAGAAACAAGGAAAAAAAAAATACTTGAGTCAATATTCGTTTTAAAACAGCTGAGCCTATTTTAAAGATCTTTACAGGTGCAAAAAGTTGAAATGATTTTACAAAATCAGTAGAATGCAGCCTTTTGGAGCTTTTTGGCTGGAGAGGAGCCAGAGTGCAATCATGTGGCCTCGTTTCTAAGTCTGCATGCGTGACACTGGTGACAAATTTATAACAAACAGCTGAGTTTAATCCTAAAATTTCATTCATCTACCAACGACATAGACATGTTTTTCTCGTGTTAAATATTTTGCAACAAAAATGCCGGTCTCGGATTCTCTAGAGGCCATTGCTATGAGGCAGGAGGCTGAACGATTTGAGTCTGTCTGCCCGAACATTCAATCGCTATACGACCTTCTAGAAGAAATCGACAATGTGCCATTGAAGCGCAAAATGAGAGAGCTAGTGAATCGCATCGAGGGTAAGTCACCTTTCAGACTGGATTTTTGGGAGGATTAGTGGCTCAAAGTCTAGAAGCTATCGGTGTTTCGAAAGCCTATAAACAGAACCTTTATGAGTTTTTCTATTTCAAATTTATAGTGCAAGCAATAAATCTATGATGACGATAAGGTGTAAAACCAAGTATAATTTATTCAATTCACTGACGTTGAAATGGAGAAATGCGAGGGCAGCAAACCATCACTTGACTTTCGTTCTTTGCGATATATATGTGGCAGATTGTAAACAAAGCTATCCCGCAAAACTCCGAAGAATTCTCATTTTCTTTGATTTTCTCGATATCTGACCATGCACGTTCCTTGTGATCTCAGAAAAAACGCGCTAAGCAAGTGTGTTTGCCTTACTGGTAGTTTCAGTGAAGATCGATTATTTTGGAAAAAAATTAAAATTTTGAGAAGATCCCGTGTTGTAAAAACGAGGCAGGATAACTTATGCTTTCCTTCATGTACTTACCATATATATGGTCCACAAATATGTTGCAAGCGCGTCGATTTCGAAATGTTATTTTCTAAATTCACCTGATCGAGATTTTACCTTTTGTTTACATGCATGCCGTGACAACACAGTGCATGTATAACTGATTTTACAGCACTCAACGGTTTACTGTGTTATCGCGCCAGAAATTTCGATCCTCATCTCATCACATATTTTCAATGTGTTCGAATCTCAAGGTCACCTTTTATTAACAGTGACTGGTGAATTTAAACAAGAATTTATTTAGCAAAGCAAGAACTCGCTGATGTGGCCACTTCGTACATGACAAAAGAAAAATGTTTACTTTTTCAGCTGTATCTATTTAAAATATTGAGTGGTGTAATTTCAAGCGCTGATCTACGTAGTGTCGTCGCTAGAACAGCTTTTAAAAATCATCTTTTGTTCTAGTAGATTCCATGACTTTCCTTGCTCGTTTCACGTCTTCAGGTTGTCAATTTCACCGTCATAAGAACCTCTGTAATTTACGAGCAGAAGATTATTTTTGTTGTCTGAAATTTGTTTTCTTAAAAAGAGTCACCTATTTGCATTTCTTGTGGTGTACATGTAAATCAAAATCAAATAGACTTCTCCCTAGGGAGAAATAAAATAGGAGAGTAATTTGGCATCCTTTGGAGAAATAGACATAATGTCAACAGAACAGGCAAATTTCAATAGGTTATTATTTAAAACCAAAACGTATGTAACGATTACTTTGTGGAAGAAATGTGTTCTAGAATTGGGGCGATGAGGTGAATATGTAGGACGTTTGATTCATCAATATATATATATATATGTATGATTTCATTTTTTTTCTTTTGCTTGTGACTATTGGTGCTTTTAACCAAAAATTTTATATTTACATAAATGAAGACAGCACTTATTTCAAGAGGCAAGAAGAAGCCATTTGAAATTAATACTTCTTCAATTAACAGATGTTGTTGAATGACAAAAACAATATTAAAACATTGCATGAATTTTGCTAGTTTAAAAAATGTGTAAGGAAGAAGAAATATTCTTTGGATATTTTGTGTCTAAATCATTCAAGAGAAATTGTAACTTTTATCTTTTACCGGTATATAACAAATTTAGCGTAGGAAAGTTTCAGTGGAAAGGAGACATTCCCAAATTAAAGTTTTATCTCTATGCATCTTAATAACCCTAAAAATTCAAAATGTAAAATGTGGCCTACCTACAACTGTTGGGCATTTAATTTGTTTATTCAGTCTAGCTTAAGTAATATATTTTTCATAAAATAAAGCCTTTTAATTCTAGGTACTGAGCTGCCTTGTCATACAAAATGACAGTTTTCTAGACTGTATTTACTGAAGCTTCATAGATCGTTGCACACTTTTTTGAAAGTATATGACTGGCAATCTAATGAAGGGTATACCATATAGCACTGAAATGTACATTCAGGGATGTAGCTAAGGAAAAGATCGATAGATAAGCAGGCTTATTAAGTAGTCAAGCTGGCTTTTTTACTCATCTGCATCTCTAAAATTGCCCGATGTCTTTTTTGGGCACAATTTGAGCTGGAGCCAGCAGCCAGCCCTTATTGACATTCCTGCGTATTACATTATGTCTGCACAGCAAGTGGTATGCCATTCTATACAATAACCTGGAACACAAACTGAATGTCATTGTAAGCATTTCTTGATAGTTTTTTATCTTTGACCTGCTACAAATGCCTTAAACCTTTGCTGCAATGAGCACCACCTTATTTGAATTGAACATTTTTTTCTTTTTCTTCACCTTTCTTTTTTATTTTATTTTTCAATCCTATATTATTTTTTTGTGTCATAGGTGATTGGCAGCTTATTAAGTGCCCACCGGTGACTCATTGAGCTCGAGTTTTCTGGAGGCTTGATAAAGGGGTTTGCTAGACACTCTAGTGGAACTAATACCAAAATGCTCCTTTTAAGGATTTATACTAAAAAAATTACACACACACATGTACAGGGCTGGATTACTTTTAACTTTTAGTGATTTTATCGTAACAAACTGGCACAGAAAATCAAAATGTGAAACACTGAAGAGATTTCTAAAAGATACTCTGAATGAATCTTATTGTTTGATTTAAAAATAAGACTGACAGTTTTCTGAACTTTCTTCAGCCACCAAATATTTTACTGGGCAGGTATAATTTATATTCATTCATAAAGCACAGGACACTTGGGAATTTCTGGGTTAAAAGGTTTTTTAAAAGAAAGAAAGAAAGGAAAAAAAGAATAGCAAAAGGAAAATCCATCTGCCACCAGATATTAGGGCACTGATCACCACATATTATACCAAAAAGCAGGAACCAGCTTTTTAAAATTTATGGTCAAAACTGAAAAATATTTACATGTACCAGATGAATGTTTCTTTACTCTTTTTGTGTGACACACAATTTGCATAGAGCCTGAGAAAACAGCCAAAATTTTACAATGTTACCACTGGTTTCCTTGCGAAGTCTAGGGAACAAGTGCAGAAATTCCTTATTGATGATGTGCCGCTATGTAACCTTATTGGTTGAAGCAAATTTTCCTTGTGGCATGACCAACAAGAAGCACTACCCAGATATGGACAGTATCACGTCATAAATATGGAATTTTTAAGCTTGTTCCTCAGACATTCTTTTGCGGAAAACCAGCATCATGAAATGCTACAGTTGACGTCTGGGACAGCCCTAATTACTGTTTTTCAAAAAAATTAAAATGTGTTTTTGGTAGTGTCCATGCAGCTAAGGTCACAAAAATTAATGGAATGTATGCAGTGAGTTGTTAAGCTTGAAGGTGACCACCTTATGGTACTTAATTTGGCGTTTTTTCGCAATGATAAAAAAATCATGGAATTAAAGACCCGTGAATAAAAATCCCCATCAAATTTAATAATTTGTCTTGTGTGTAAAGAAAATTCAAATCACCGGAAAAAAGGATAACATTTAATAACAACAACATATAAACGATATCGACAAATACACAAATTATTAACTGTGAACATTATAGTCACAAAATTTAATGCCCCTTTTCATATTTGCATGTTGAAATCATGAAAACAAAAGCATGCAAAATACTGTCTCACCAAAATCTTGAAATTAAGTACCTGCAAATTTAAGTACCAATAAGGTATCTAAACGTCAATTTTGTTCCTTTTTCCAGAATCCTTTTTGAACAGTCCAGAGTTTACAACCCTTAGAGTGGACAGCAATTGTGAATTACGCTTGGTGAGTCTTAATTCTCTTGTCTCCTAGTGCTATCACCTCCCCAAAGTTTCCCTGAACACTTTACCTTCCCCCGACCCCTACATTTACTCATTATTCCGAATAAAAACTAGTGTGCAGTTGAAACTTGTTAAAAGGGAAACCATACACTGTGGCAAAAAATAGAGTCTGTCATAACCGTCCATACCCAAAAGTTTGGCTTTAAGTTAGATATTCAGGGATGAGAATATTTTTTTGTTGTTTTAATTGGTTGTTGAATTGTGGACTAGACCCTTGTCAGCAAAAAGGGGCTTTATGCTCATTTTCTCCTAGAAAATACAATTTCAAGCATTCTAGTTTATCAATAAAGAATACCTATAATGACAAATTTTAGTATTTAACAAAAAGATTCCATGTTGCCATGCATATGTTCAGATACATGGGATAGATGACGTCAAACTGTGGTCAGAACAAAAAAATGGCAGAGGAGTCACAGGCTAGTGTGTGTCACTCTTACAGCAGTGAGACGTCCTGTAGGCAGCTGCAGTGTACATACTGCCAGCAAATGGCTTTTGAAATCCATGGAGATGCCTCTCAGATCTCCCAGACTTTTCAGGGGGAACATATTCAACTGGGCCAAATGGTTCAAAACTTTAAGACAGTTAGAAGAAATACAAAAGTTAGTTTCCACACCAAAACACATAATAATACTACAGCACTATATGCTCTGTTTGTACATTGTATAATACCATGCTCTGTTTGTAGTTAACCCAGATTATGCTCACCGTGCTTTAAACAACATGACCTTGCATGATATTTTTTTGCTTGGACTCTCACAGTTTATTTTTTATAGGGCATTGTTGGTAGCTCAATCTCTGGCAAGTCGGACTTATTGCACAGATATCTGACTGGTCAGTATGCAAAGGTGGATTCATTCACTGGGCGCCACAAGAAGGAAGTGTGTTATGATGGGCAAAGCCATCTGTTATTGATCAGGAACGAGACTGGACCTCCTGATTTGCAGGTATTCAATATTTAGATGATGATGATGATGTTGATGATGGTGATGGGGAAAAGAATGATAATCGTAATCAGTGATTTTGTTTCCTCTGCGTCCTGCATCCCTGACACATAAAAATCCCCAAAGACTCACAAAAGTTCATGGCATGTGCCCTGTAGGATGCGAAGATCAATTGATCAATCTAAAGATGTTTTTGTAGAATATCCTCTTTGTGTGATCTCTGTGGATGTTCTCATCAGTCACTTCAACTAACTTTAGTCCACTTTTTCAGCCAATCAAAACTAGAAATTTTCCGAAGTTAAATTACTGTTCAGAAAGCCACTTCAAAATCTTGCTAGCAAGATAAAGGTTAAGACGTATTTCAGTACTTTTGGGTCCTTAAGATGTATTTTAGTACCTCCATATGAAATGGCAAAATTTTCATCAACCAAAACACTATCAAGGCTACATGTCCACTCTTACGGGCTGTCTGTTGGTGTAATGTAGCTCGTGAAAATTTTTTTCTTTTCCTTATAGTTTACACAGTGGGTGGATGCAGTGATCTTTGTTTTTAGCCTGGACGATGAGCTTAGCTTTAGTGTTTTATCCAGTTACTATGCAAAAATGGCTCAATATAGGAAGTACATATCGGATATTCCTGTGGTGCTGGTTGCATTAAATGGTGAGCAAAAAAAAATCAAATGAGATAGTTAAAAAAATAATGAAACAATATAGGAGTTTTTTGGAGAGGGAATTGGGCAGTGGCGGGGGTGGGGTAGTATTTGGTGCATTTTGGGTCTGGCCACACCCTGCAATACCTTGGGACTGGGTCGGATGATGTGACTTAAGAGATTTCCCGAATGGAGACTTCTGCCTCTGGTTTATGTTATTTCATTTTCGAGGGTTAAGTTAAAACTTCCTAAACTCAAACTTTCCACCTTACTTGTCTTTAAAGAGTGACAAATGCCGACCTTTAATTTGCTTCCGGCAATTCCTTAATCAGATCAATTCTTAAGCACGATGTCAGCTTTGTAAGGTTTGGCTCCTGGGTTTGGCTTAGGGAACAACTTAAGATTACCCATTTTCAGGGCGAAAACGTGTCCGAATGCAGAAATAAGAATCAAAAGAAAACAACGTCAACAATAACAAAAATACACACAATTTTGATTTTTATAATTATGCCACGTTCATTCTTTTAGAAAATATAAAACAGGTGTCTTTTTTTTCCCCAAAGACGGTGTTATGAGTATTGATCAGTCAGGGATTGTAAGCACGCAGCGAATAAAGAAGCTTATATCAGAACTTAAACAGTGTGTCTACATGGAGGCCTCGGCTCTGACAGGAGACAATGTGGATCGTGTTTTTAACACAGGTTAGTTCTAATTCCATAATTTTTTTTGGTTAGGCTTATATCTCTTAAATACTCATCTTCAAAGCTTCCGGTTAAAGAAGCCTAACCATTGTGTTATCGCTTAGTGTGTTGGTCAAAAATGGCTCTAAATTAAGTCTACAAGAAGTTCGCCGTGCAAATAACTAAAGAATCTTTACTTAACGACCAGTAAGCTACTTTTTTTATTCAAAAGTAGCCTGCGTTACAGCCCGCCCTCGCATCGTCCAGACTATTGGCTTTATACCGGCGGTTTAGCATGTCTGCGACACAGGCCGCAGGCTACGCTGAAGATACTTTTACTTACCTAAAAAGTCCACCGGTTTTAACAGATACGTACCTCTTCATTCTTTTAAATTTCTTTCAAACAATTAGGTTAATTTCATTACAATAACATTTGAGTACATACACTGAAGGTTGGTTGCTGCTTGTAGGTTTCAAAACCGGCATCTTCCTTTTATTAGCGGCAATCGCTGTTAAGTTAAAAAGTAGCACAGAGCTTGTACGTAACTGCTGTAATCCGCAAAAATGTCTTACATACATGGTGAACCTGACTTTCTTCTTCTTTTTTACTTGTAAAAGCGATTCTTGTCGTTGAAAATGTTTCACGCCCAAGTATGGTTTTTTGGCAAATGGCGACAACAGGTCTGCAGTTTTGTCAGTTTTATCTTTCAAACACCTGGAACTTTTTTAAAATAAACTTTCAATCGATTCCCAACAAGTTTAGTAAATCAGGAGCGTATTAGTTTGACCGCGGTTAGGGTGTTATCCATAGTCCTCCTCTTTCGCAGACGTTCCTCTAGCTCGTTCCACAATCCTGCGGGCTAAAAGAGCCTCGGCGCAGGAGTGAGGCAAAAGCCACATGCACTCCCTTGAGTGCCTTCTTCTTGAGATCTGGTTTGTAGATCGCTGGACTTTTCAATGATCGTTGCGATCTACGGAAACCAAAAATAATGTCTCAGCGATCTATGAAGAGTTGTTTCTACATTAAATTGCGGCGATCGCTGGACTTTCATTTTAGCCATCCTGCCTAAACTCACCTTAACCCTTTTTAGCTTTTTTTGTCCAATGTCAAAGAAACCTTTTTAACAAGTTGCTCTTAAAATCTCAAGGTCATTGCGAAACAATGCGTGTTAGTGTGGCATTGACCTTAGCAAAACGGGGGCGTTGTGCTTGTTGCGAAGGATCATCCAACCTCTCCAACCTGCTTTTTAACGCGAAAGCGTTCAAAATTGTGCCAAGTCGTGCCACCTTGTGGTAAATTCGAGTCGTCACTGTTTAATTGCGTAAAATCGTCAAATAAACGACATTTTTTATGGCAAAATGTACATGTGTTGTACTGTTAAGCTGTTAGCCTGTTTGACACTGTTGACAGGGATTGGAAAGGCAGAAAGGGAGGAATTTAGGAATTTCTCACGAGCAGTCATCTCGAGGCCTCCCTTACAGCTCCCCACACACCCCGCCCGGCGCATGCGTTTCACACAGTTTGCACTTGTCTTTGTGTTGTGTGAAACGTGTTAAAATCGTAAGCGATGTTTATTTTTTGTTTCCTAGCTGCTTTCTTTTCTGGGGCTCATCGTGCAGTCAGCCTGTTCAGTCTTACTCCTCACTCACTCAAATCCTCAGAACGTAGTCCCGCTCCCCCCCCCCGTCCCCCTTCCGCTCGCCAGCGAAAATAGCACTAAGTATTCACTGTTTACAGAAACAGTTCCAATTGAATCACTTCAATCATTATTATCTGCACTTTTAGAGCCCACCTGACGAATTTGACAGTGTAGCACAGCCCGAATAAAATGATAACGAAAAAGGGAAAAATTATTGCGCATGATTATTATGATTCATAATTTCCCCATTTTTGTTCCTGCTGTCCATAAGAGGGATGACGCTATTTCCGAATCACTTTCTTTTTCTTTTCTTTTCTTCCCCTTTGTAATAATAATCATGCGCAATAATTTTTCCCTAGGAAAGTGGTTCGGAAATTGCGTCATCGCTCTTATGGACAGCAGGAACAAAAACGGGGAAATTATGAATCATAACAAAAATATTTGCCGTTTTCACGTTAATATGCAAATTTTGGAAATTATTTTTACCTGGTTTAAATTTACAAGTGGCTTGAGAAAAAGGTGCGAAATGCTGGTAACACAATCATTTAAATGATTTCGTGGAGGAAGTTTTGTTATTCTAAGTAATAAAAGTCATCTATGGGATAAAAAGAAAGTAACTAATCTTGTTAACCCCCTTCGCCCGCCAGCCAGCCGTGTTAAACCGGAAATGTTTCCTTCCCAATCAGGCATGACATAAAATAAAGGTTTGACACGAAACAGAAGTGGCAGAAATGGCAACTTACGTTAGGTTAGATATTTTACATATAATTATAAAATTTTGTGACGTTTATTGTGTGGCTTAAAGTGCACAAAATTTACTTATTCTTTTAAGTGAAATATGGCACTTATTTTCCGGAAGAGAGACGATCTTCGGTTTAAAAGTATTTGTGAAATTTGAAACGTGCAAAACATTGTTGTTAATGAACGGTTAGCCGCTGACCGACATTTTCCCAAGGACTGAGCAATAATTGACTGATGAGAGATACTGTTTGTACTCCTAGCTGGCTTGATACCGAGATTTTTGATCATCTTTGAGAAAGAACAGGTTTAGAAAAGATTTTTCTAGAATTGAAACGGATAGAAGTAGTGTTCATCGACAAAGTTGTTCCGCACCTTTTCTTTGAAAGGCGGGCTGTAGCGATTGGAGGCCGAGCATAAGCTAAAAGACAAAGACACAAAGGTGGGATTCTTTCACCATGGAGTAGCTTGCATTGAGGAAACGAAAGTTCTGGAAACATTTACTTAGTTCAGACATCTTCTACGAAGGTAATAACTTCATCGAATGGTCTTTTCGTCGATGGTTTTTGCTTGGGAGAGATTTGGTCGTCGCGAATCTGGCATCCGTAGTGACAATTATAATCAGTTTGTGTTGGAGAAGATTTGATTACATTTGAGCCTTCTTTAAATAGCATAAAAATAATTATGATGCGAAGAAGCTTTCAGCTCTCTGGATCTTACGATATCATCAGGGATGCAACAGATCTGGCAAGTAAGTCTCTAGGTTTTCAGTTTCTTCGATTCTTTTAGCTTTCAAGCTAAAAGTAAGTGCAGTTCAAGGGTTTATTGATCTTCTTTTTTTGAAGCCCAGCGTTATTGCTGTAGTACTTCACTTTTGCTTTTATCTGTTGTCTGATGCGTGTCGCATACGAGAGTCTTTGATAATGATCGTCTTTCCGTGAAATTAATTTTCAAGATAATATTTATAACGACAGTCGTCTCTTTTTAATATAGTTTGTTGTTTACTTCAATCTGCAAATGAGAGCACAGCGAGCTGTTAAAGTTAGAATACTGTAGTCATAGTTTTTCACTACAAATTTACACAATCGAGTCCTTGGCTCTATATTTTCGCAGTTGTTTTAGTTAAACAGAAATATTGCCTTCGATGTAAATTTTCTTGACACACATTTGGCAGATGTAAAGATTTAATTTTGCCCGTTGCACGAGTCTTGATATTGATATCTCTTGCTGTCACATATTAGATTCGACGTCCAATTCTAATTACTATCTTGAATTAGAAAATTACACTACATAAAATTAGTTATTGTCTCTTTGCTCATTCTAAGTATCGATTTTGGGTGTTTCTCGATTTCTTCTCTCCAAAGTTCTTTGTAGACCCTGGTTTCTTTCGAACATAGTATAAAAGTTTATAGTGCGCGGTTCGAGAACTCAGAAACATCAAAACAAACACTCACTAAATTATGTTTGTTGAAATGATATTTAAGTTCTCGAATCCTTGCTAGCATGAAGAAAAGACCCGTGATGAAGTTTGCATAGCTACAAATGTACAACGTAAATTTCCGGCGGGTTGTTCAGTAAAAAATATTTTTTGGCGTCGAATTCCACCACATAATACAATTCAAGTCGCTTATGCTTACGCTTACGCTTGCACATGTTCATCGCCGGAAGTTTTTCCTACACCTATGCCCTGTCAAAAATCATGTTACTTAATTCTCTTGATTTTATCGTGCAGTGTTTGGCAATTTGTCATCGCGATCTTTGTAATTTTACGTTCCTCTTTAGCGGTAACAAGTCTTTCTGTTTTCGTAGCAATCAGCCACTCAGCATAATTTTCAATGTTGTGTTTACATTATTTCCCGCTGTGTTGGCGGGTTTGTACTTTGTAACTTGTTCGTTTGTAATATAATAAGTACTCGCATGTGTTTAGAACTCTTGTTACTTGATTTGCCAGGAAAACTTGCTTTGATTTAATTCCGCTGGAGAAAAGATAATTTTTATTGGCTTTGCTCATGGTACTGAGTGAAATTTAATTAGTCCGTTTGTGAAAATGTAATTCTTATGCTAGTCGATGTTTAATGAATACAAAAGAATGCTATTAATTGGAAAATTATGGCGAAAACACAATAAAAATAATCCGTTACATTAAAGGCAGTGTTTTGCTTGTGAAGAGTATTTCCTTAAAATGTGAAAGTACAGTCATCTCTTTTCTAAATGAGTTATTATTTACGAGTTAGAATCTTATTTGGAGTGTGGAAATTTTTCCGAGCTTTCAGTTGTTAGTTTTGTCTTCTTGCTAAATTATACAGTTTTATGCTTGTATGCTGGTGGATGGCAAGTCCACCATGTTCCCGATGCAGTACTCAATAACTGGTGTTATACTACTACATGAGAAATTTCTGCAATTTGATTGGCTTAGCTAGAGCAGTGGTATTTCAGCTTAATTTGAAATACCTACATGTGAAAATTACAAACCTTTTGCGGGTCGTAGTATAAACAAATAATAGCAGGATTTGTATGTGATATTTGGCATAAATACCACTCGTGATATTTCAAAGTTGTCTCAAATTTCACTCGCCTATCGGCTCGTGAAATTACATGTAACAATTTTGAAATATCACTCGTGGTATTTATGCGAAATATCACCACAAATCATGCTATTACCTATACTAATTGTAACTTAAATTTGTCCCAGCTTGCCATAGAGCCTCCAGTAGCTCACTAGTTAGACCTTCTGATTTAGAACTTGGTGCGTTGTGAGTTTGCATATCATCTGGATCTTGTATAGATTTCTCTTGAAACCTTTGATTGTGGTAGATTTATATTGGATAATGGCTGCCAACATTCACTGGCCAGGGTAAAATTAAGTTTGTTCAGGAAATGCTTGATCAAATTAAGAATTTTTCTTAATATGATGCTAATTGTACAAATTTTATTTTATGGATACAATGTTTACAAATGATATTACTGATAAAAATTGAAAATTTGAGCGTGGATCAATTTTTCCACCGATGTGGAATTGAGGCATCAACAAAACCTGGATTGGACCAGATTGCATCGGATCAAACCCTGTATTTCACTAAACTACAGAAGGTTAGGGATAGGGTTACAGGGGTTGAACTGATCTGGTCCAATTTAGATTTTGTCAAGGGCCATTAAAAAATGTACTCATGTAAAATAGAAATGACATGTTTGTGTATTTTCTGACACAGTTTTTCTATCAGTTTAATCAAATATTTGACATCAAGTACGTTTTGAATTTGTCATTATATTAATCTTATAGGAGCCAAATTTTGCCATATTGACCTATCATTGGATACGGTATAATTTTCCCTCTCGCAACTTCATCCTAGCTCAGGCACTTTATGCCCTAAAAGAGTGGAACTTGTGGAAACTAACTGCCTAATAATACCAGTACACTTGTACTATTATTAAAGAAAAATGTACATAAATTCAAGTTTATTAAATTTTAATGCCCATATATTACTAATTAATTTTTGACAGTTTTTTATCCATCCCACAATCTCTTGGTTAGATCTCAAGGTTATGAGATTTTTAATTACTGTTTTTAAGTTAATTTAAAGTTACAAACCCAGCTGAGATGTGACACCTGTTGCACTAGTCATCTCTTTATGGTTCAATATTTTTTTATATTCAGGTTAACTTTTTTCACCTAGGATGAATCTCAATTTCTCTTTGTCTCCTAGCCCTAATTCCTGAATAATTAGGCCTGGGATTTTGACTTGTATCATAAACATGAGAAAATACTGTTTTAAAATTGTTCTGGATATTGAGGTCTTTATCAACAATTTTGGTTATTTAAAGTCACACACCCTGCTGAGCTTTCATACTTGTTGCCTCAGTTACCTTATACTCGTAGGAAGTCATCAATCTTTGTTTTAGATAATGAGATCTTTATCAATTCTCTTGGTTAATTTCTATAAACCCCTGCTGAAATGTCACAGATTAGTACACATGGAATATAAAAGTAACTTTGTAAGCTTTTTATTCTTAATTGTACACCTTGCCCTACACCATCTCAAAATGTTGGCCATAAAGAGACCAAGTATATTTAGCACTCTAATGCAGGAAATAAGAAATGGTAAGAACATAAAAGAAGAGGCAACCAGCAACCTAAAATATTTTATGGGTTCCTAAAAGAAAAAGAACAAACAAACAAAAACAGCAACAGAAAGTAATCTTTAAAGTAGTGCTCTGATGCAAAAGCCAGATTTAGTTGTCACACTGAATGTAGACTGTGGGAATGTAGACACAAAGTTAAGAATTGAAAATGTCTTTGGTATTGGAAGGCTAAGTATGGACAAGAAATGATGCAATTCTGGTGTGTGTAGCCTTGTTTGCTGTCACCAGGGAGGGTGTTGAGCATGCTCAGTTATTAAGACTGCTCTAAAATCTTCAGTCTTCTCCTAAGCTGTGCTCATGGCATTGAAAACCTGTAATCTGAGGGCCATGATGAGTGTTTGCTTCTGTGGCTTTCATTTAAGTTCACAGAAACTGAAAGTGTGTTCATTGTTCTTATTTGTCACTGAAAATTTTTTGTCAACAGCCATTGAAAAGCTGATACAAGCAAAAACGGAAACAAGTCCTGTTCTGACATCATTTGATCCAATCCACTCGCCAACAGCAAGGGACCCTCCTGATCAAGGACAAACGAATGTCCCTTCACAGAGCCCTGTTAGCAGTGCGGCATCAACACCATCATCTTCAACCAAACGATCGTCAAGAAGAAGAACAATGCTGTTCAGTTCTTCGGTATGTACATTGTAATCAGAGTTAATAAATAACACTGCATTGTGTTCTTTCTTAGTCACTATGTATTGTTAGTGAGGTTGCCGTGTCATAATCAAAACAGGTTGAACCCATTTTGCTTCCTTTCGTCTTTTTATATACTACCTTATGCATTGCTGGTAGAATAGAAAACACCAACTGTAACAAGCCTCTCAGTTTGAAAACAACTGAATGGAGAAGGGCTCAAGACTCACTCTTCTATCTACTAGCGATTATGAGTTAGTGACAGGCTTAATTTTGTTTTAAAATGTGTAGAAAATCCTCAAGAGGCCATGTAATGATGAAATTAATGTTTTGTTAATGATGGAAGTACAGTTAGCAGTTAGTATGAAAAATTTTAGAATCAAGATGGTATCACAATGGGTTCTTGGAGTGAATTGTTCGGAAGGAGAAAGAATTATCAACTGATATACACACAATATTTTGAAATTCAATGCAAAACTGAAACGTTTTTCCCCTTCCATGTTGAAATGTTTCAGTGGCTTTCAGTTTTCCAAGAATTTCAGTTTCTTTTTAGATATTCATATGTAGGTACAGACACTCATCTTACTGTTCCTCATGAAGACTTGTTCTTGCTTTTTGGTTAGTAGGAAATAACAAAATAAGGTTTTAGTTGGTATTAATAACCTGTTATTGGTGATTTGGACTTCTAGTGCATTAGCAACAACATTTTGATGTACGATATGTAAGCAACAATACTTTGCACTCACGACAGGTGATTCCTGTAATTTCCTTATGAAAGCAGCTAGTTTGTGCAGATGGGTGACTAAAGCTTTTGGTCGTGGATTAATGTTTATATTTTTATTTCAAGATTGTGTCCTAAGTTAGAAATACTTTAGTAGTGTGTGCAAGTTCAGTGATTCTGGCACTGTTTTGTTCTGGCCGTTGAGCTAATGATTTCAGGGAATTAAGTATACACATAATTATTCAAATAATTATGGATTCATTATATTGTTTAATTAATAGGCACAGCATTCTCAAGCCAATGTAAGTTAAGTCCTTCCACTGACTGTATACAAATTGAACAAACCTCAGGAGTTCACTTCTATTTCTCATGGTTTGCTAATTTACGTGCATCACTGCTTTAATCTGATCCTTGAGGACGATTGCTTTGTTCCGAGCAGCAATTCCTTGCTGGGTTGAGAGGCTTCGAGTTAAAACTATGACTGTTCATACTGTCACATCCCTTGTCTAAAAAACGTTGTGGGTATGTTATTACTATTAACATAAAGTTTGAATATTTTTTTATAGAAAGAAAAGAAGGAGAAGGAATTAGTGACAGACACAGATGTTGGAAGTGGGCGATCAATTCCCTTAAAACAGGTGGATTCTATTATTACTGGATCAGTTGTAGTCCCGATTAATAAAGTGCAGTTGAGTCGACAATTTTTGGGCAATATTCCAAGGTTTTGAAGGGCAACAAAAAGGATGTGAGATATCTGATGGATTTTAAGTCAGTGGAGGCATGTGTTTCCTGTTATCAAATGGTTTTAATATGAAAATGAGACAAGTTCCTGTAGGCAGGGGAGGTTTCTTTTACAGGTCACATTTCACAGTTTATGATTAACCCATTCGCTCCTGGAGATTTTGCCGAAAAACGCGTTTTGAAGCTAGTCGAGTGGTTTTCTGGTCACTGTCGTGCTATAAAGAGCTAAAACTTACCACAAACCGGTCTACAGGTCGTACACTTGGCGGCCTTCTGATCCAGATGCAAAATATCAGCTTGCGAAGTTCGGGCATGCGCAGAAAGCAAAATTTCGACATAGTTTTTGGGTTTAAAAGTGACACAGCAGTCTTGACTTTTACTTTTCGCTTTCTCTCCTCCCTTCTTTTTTCGCTTTTCTTGCCTCATTTTTTTTTTCTCTTGCTGGGCATTTAGTAGGCTTCATTTTGGTGGGAAGAGTTTTTAGGAAAGCTTTTAGGATCTTAGGATTAGGTGAAAGGAAAGGTAGGTGGGTAATGGAACAAGATTTTCATGGAGATTTTCAGGTCCTTGTCACGTGGTTTTTTGCTTCTTTCTCCGGTGTCCTTGACTGAATTGTGGTCATTCTGGTATGGTTTGAAAGATCTCTTCACTCTGCACAAGTTACCGAAGAAAGTTGTCCTTCACCGTTAAAACTGATGACGTCACAAAGGGTAGAAAGGACCTGGATCCGCACGGGCGGTTACGGGCGGTTCAGGGGCGAATGGGTTAAAGGTCACTGTTTTATTGGTGGGTTACTAAATCAAACAGTTTTTCTTCAATCTAAATCAACATGTTGGATAGGGTTTAGGGCTAGGAGACACTTCTGGTCCTTTTTATTTATCTATGCCATGGTAACCTGCATTCTGACCTGTGGAATGTGATCTGCATTTGTAAAAAAAATACCAACTGCAAGTTGCTTGCATGAAAATGAGGTAAATTTGCACGACAGGGACAAGGTCTCTACCAAAATAATGATTAAGCGGCCACAATGCTGACTCTTATGTTTAATTACTTAAACGGGCTATAAAAGTAAGAGAAGTTAAGACAATCCATGTTGATCACCCTCTTTGTACATGCAGAAGAGTTTAAATCTGTACAACTTCTTTTGTACTTTGCTGTTTAGCACTGGTGTTGGAAACCATAACATCTCCATAATTTAATTTTCCTTTTCTTCCAGGGTTATTTGCTCAAGAGAAGCACTAGCTCAATCAACAAGGAATGGAAGAAAAAATATGTTACCCTCCTAGAAGATGGAGTTCTGGCATACTATCGTAATTTGCATGTAAGCACCCTATTAATCACCGTGATATCAAAAGCATAACACTGTAAATACTTAAATTGGTGCCCTCTTTCAAATAAGTGTCTCCTTCGAATTAGATCTGCCTCCCCTTATTCCAAGAAACCCAAGCCATTATAAAATAAGAAAAATCACTGAATATACAGTATAGAAGGAGAATGGAAGGAATTTAATTGTAGAACTTAGAGGACCTGAGAGGAAACAGGACTTTGACAGCAACCACTCAGTGATTTGTGTGTTTCTTCTTACAGATGCATGTGCGTTCCAGTTTACTGTCACAGTAAATGTATTAACTGGTTGGAAATTAAGAAAATGTAATTTTGAAGCTGAAAAGAGGAACAAAATAAGTGCACCCTTTAAATAAGAACCCTCTTCAAATTAGCCCTCCCCCCCCCCCCCCCCCCCCCCACACAAAAAAAAAAAAGAAATCCCCCCGCCCCAAATTTACAATAAAATATTGCCTACTCTCCCCTTTTGCGTAGAAAAAATATTTTTTTTTTTCTTTTACCCCCCCCCCCCCCCCCCCACCTGAGACTCAGAAAATTAAGGTACTTCCCTGCATGCCAATTTAAGCATTAACTTGAGCCTGTCCTCTCACTGTGGTAAACGAGAATTTTTCTTCATTGCTTGACCAGAAAAAAAAGTAAAGAAAACAAAGAATCATAGATCTATAATAATAATATTGTGAAGGTTGCAGTTTTAATGCCTCACAAGAATACAACTAACAAAGGCAGAGTTTAGGCCATGCCAGCCAATTTGAAAATGCAAATTTTTGTTCCATAATAAGCTTCTCTGTATACATCCCTTAAAAAAGAGCTTTTGAAAAAATATGAGTCTCAGCACTCAGACTTACCATTATTACAGTGATGCATACACTACAGTCAATCTAACAAAGTGAAATTTTTGTGTTAATTGTTGACAGGACTATATGGATGATGTTCATAAGAAAACCATAACATTGAAACACACTACTGTCAAAGTGCCTGGAAAAAGACCACCTAAAGCTACCACACCAGCTCAAGGTACCACAATTTAAACTTGTATTGTACAAACTTTCCATGCATGCCTAGAAATGATTTGTTTTTAAGGCATACTTGATTCTCAAGCCAACAGTTCTGAAACTTAAGGGTAGCTTTTATCGTAAAACTGGACTTCCACAGAATGATAGCCACCTGACTTAGAGTCAAGCTGAGTCAAACATGCTCCCAGAGAATTTTTTAATGCACTGTTATTTGAAAATTGAATTGGTTAGTCCTTGCTAATACTGGTATCAAATTCAAATGGACATTCCTATAATGTACATAACAAGCCTTTGAATTTTATGTAGACTACAACTTCCCTGCATTTGGTCAGATTAAAAACCTTTCTCACTTTGAATGGTTAAAATTCCTATGAAGATCTCATTTCAGTTCAATGTTTACATCACTGGGCAGTGATGTGAAGCTGTTGGCTTTGTCTCATTTTTCCTTCCTTGTCAATTGGCAGGGGTCGTAAAAGGACCCTCACAACTGTTTGAAAAGAGTTTGGGACGTAGACCCTGCAAATATGTTTGATCTTTTTAAGGAAGTGGAAGGGGCTGTCATAACCTGCTAATCTGACCTCATGCTGTCACGGTTATCAAGCTGTGCATCAAGAAATACTGAATCTAGTAAATCTAAAATCTAAAATCAATACATATAAATTTTTTACCAGGAAATTCAAGGCCGACAACGCCTCCTATGGAAACTGATAACAACAACAGTGGCAGTGAAATAGGAATTAACATTACTGATGGTGTACAAAATGGAACAGATTCTTATACAAGCTACAACTCTCTTTCATCTCAACATGATATCGATGGTGCATTAGCCAGTATCGGAAATCAGTTAGTTACTCCTGCGTCAACAAATATCAGTGCTAACTCAACAAAGACTGATTCTTCAAGTGTAATTAAGAAAAAGAACAAAAGAAGCAAGCATACAAAATCTTGTGAAATAGACTATGAGGAGCTTGAAAAGGCTTTAGCAATTGCTGCAGCCAATGCAGTGGTACCATCGGGGTCCAAAGTGGAGTCGATAAATGTGATATCAGGTAGCGCAAAAAAGAAGGGGCATAGAAGAGTCAAAAGTGGCAGTGGACCAAAAGTTGATTTAGATCCAGGTAATAGATGCTTCTAGAAATTTATGCTATAAGACATTTACTGCTTTTCAAGTCATCATCATCATCATTGGTCGACCAAGGAATAGTCGACTCTAGGTCATCTCCAGCTGGCTCGGTTTAGGGTAGCGCACACATTGTCATCCTCTGAGACATGCTTATTTGGGCTGATCCATTCCTGGACTTGGCTGGAAAAGGACTTATGCGGTCTCCCCGGGGTTCAAAGTGGGGGTGGGGGTGGCAGGTTCATACAAAGCGTAGATGTTAGTGGGCTCACTAACACTTAACAGACCTTTCCATGGTTTTTTCCAATTTTTTTTTTTCATGGACAAGTTTGGAAGAATCCACCTCTGGAAATAAGAGCGCCTTTAAATTAAGAAAATTGCCAAGTTTGAAAGTGATTTGTTTTCAAGTTTTTCAGGCGAGCAGAAAGCTGACGTGGAGTGTAAAACACGCACAATGGGGGAAGACACAGAAAACGTATTTTAAATTATTATTATTATGATTGTCATTATTATAGATTATTTTTTCTGCACCTTCCTTCGTTGTGTGTGTCATGCATTCCATGTCCGCTTTTTGCTCACCTGAAAAACATAAGAAAATAACACCAGCAGGCTAAAACAGATCCAAATTAGAGGAGTGTCCACTTGATTGAGATTCAAATAAAGGACTGAAGAATGGTAGGGACCAACTTTAAGTTTTCATTTTAGGGAGTTGATTTTAAGACATCATTGACTTTGTTGCAGAAATGACTGACTGGGAATTCACTATAGTATCATTAGAAGCAAAAAGCTGGCAGTTTGCTGCAGTTACTCAAGAGGTAAGGAATAGTCTGTAATAGATAAGCTATCAAATATGTATGGCTTACAAGAAGGAGTGTTTGTCTGTGATATAACAATTTAAGTAGAAGAGGCTCAACAACAAATTCAGACTTGCTTGCATCAAGTTTGTTTATGTCGAAGGTGTCATCATCATCTTTTTTTTTTTTTCTGTCAGGGAAAAGTGAAGCCTGAATAGCCAGGCCCACTTTACTGGTACTTTTTTTGGGTAAAAAGTTTTCATTCCTGTTGAATTTTTACTCTTCCTTTTATCTCAGATTGTCTTTGTCTCTCTCAAACTGTCTTTGAATTTTGACCATTATATAACACAACTACATCAGCACACATTGCGGAAAAGACTACCACTTCTGCATTGGACTGTGCAGCCGTAGAAAATGCTGTCGAGTCTCCAGCTTGACCAGAGCCCAAATCAATAGTCTTCCAAGACTGACAGTTGTATACTATTTCTGACACAACAATAATAAGTAGAATCAATATCTGCAATATTGAAGCTGTTTTATTTTTCACTAGCTTTTTGTATTTTCTTTTTCAGGAACGTGATGACTGGGTACAAGCAATAGAACAGCAGATTCTTTCATGTTTACAGTCGAATGAGAGTGGCAGGGAAAAGGTAATGCATGTCATGGTGGGTTATGGTCAAGTCGCCCGAAAGTCATCTTGGCAGAAGTTCTGTCACCTGAAATTTTTAGTTAAGTCTCCCGAAATGCTGAGTTATGTTGACCAAATTTTTATCATGCTCAACAAAATCCTAACATTTTTATCGTGCTTGTTTTGTCTCAGCAAATCTTAAAGAACGATATAAAGTGCATACACTCTTTATTAACTCTTTATGACTTTTGGGTGACTTGACTGGTTACCCTGTGGATGGTGATAATGAAAATCATGCAACACAGTCTGTTAAACAGCCCCCTGCAAACAGAGGCTCCTTTTATCTCATTATAATGGAGGGGAAAAGGAGGTTCAAGTGGCTCTGCCTGAATTGTGTCAAGTCTTTGAAGTTACCGCAGCCCAAACTTCTAGGCTAGTCAATCATATTTTTATCTTGTCATACTGGTTTTTTTCAATTGCGAGCATCTGTTTATTGATAAACCGATGGTCATAACCGAGTCCTCTGTACCAAGTGCACAGCTATTAGGCCTGGGTTCAAAACTGTATCCTAGCAACATTCAGCACATGCTCAACAAAGGTCTTACCCTCTCCCAGTTTTTGTTTTTGGGTATGATAATGTATGCTAATGAAGTTGAAACAAAAAAGCAAATAAATATTACCTGAGATGAAAATTAACTACAACATACTGATACATATATATATTTTTCGTTTTAGACACGGGGTAGTAGCAGTTCATCAGCGAATGGTTTTGATATGCTGTCAATTAGAAACACGGATGGGAATGATGTTTGTGTAGACTGTGGTGCACCAAGTAAGTTGGTTGTCCTGTGACACTTTTGCTATACATTTTAAAGTTGTCGGTAACGTTGTTTCGCCTCATTAGCAAAAATAGTATGACTGCATTTAATAAACGCTATAAATTGTGAAAGTTTGGTTGATCAGGTCCTCTCTGACTGTGTCTTCCTTATTTAGCATACACTAGCATAAATAAAATTTTAATTGGAAACAGTAAAGTATTTTCCAAAAAATAAACTGAAAAGCAACTCTAACTGAAATACAGAGCACAACACAGAAAGCACAGCTTATGAAGTCAATTCTATAGCAAACCTATGCTTACAGTGATTACAGAGTGAGCATAATTTACGAGTTCAGTTGAATTTTTGTTGTTAGCAAGTGATTCACAATGCAAGATTTTCCTCCGTCTGTTTAATGACCTCCCACGCAGACGTTCTTAGAGCTTGCTTCGGTTGCCTTCCTGCCCGACCAACATCTTCTGAAACAAGCGTTTAAATTCCTTTTCCATTTTTTTACAAATATCAGCTGGAGATCGGCTGCAAATTACCTGAGAATCAACCAAATACGTCTGTGTGAGAGAATATCTGCTTAATTGCTAAATGGCTGCATCTAAACCCTTTAGTCCCAAGAGTGATCAAAATTCATTTTCTAATAATGATATCAACACATAATCCAGAGAAATGTTGTGAGAATTAATAAAGTGATCAGCCTTCGGAAAATGCTTTGATCTGCAAACAAGTTCTCTCAACTAATTCTGTAAGGGAATGTATGGAGATCAGTTTGGAGAATTTGTATCTGGATATTGGGGCTTGAAGGGTTAATAACCAGTGTTCATGCGTGTGTTCATTCCCAGATCCCGATTGGGCATCACTAAATCTCGGAGCACTGATGTGCATAGAATGTAGTGGAATGCATCGAAACCTTGGTACACATTTGTCCAGAGTTCGATCACTTGATCTGGATGACTGGCCGTAAGTAACTTCTTAATAATTGAGAAATAACTAAATTATTTATGATTTAAGTAACAACATACCAAAAGATAAGTAAGGCTTAGATTTTTCCTTAGTGGGGTACATTTTTCTCGATTATATTTCATTGTCAGAGATGCTGTTAACTGCGGGTCGAAAATACGCCCCATTTTTCGTTTCATATGCGTTCTTATTCTGTAAGAGAATGATAGTCCGACCCATTTTAAAGGTATCATCCTTCTCACATTTTTTGAATGGCCTGTAAAACAGCATTTAGTTAATAACAGACCAGGCGGGCAATATATTAATATAATATGTTGTTTTTGTTATTCAGGTTTGAATTAACTGCTGTAATCAGCTCAATTGGTAACACTCTTGCTAACAGTGTATGGGAAGGAAGGATACAGAACAAAACAAAACCATCACCGTCGTCTCCAAGGTAAATTAAAAATTACAGCAGTTTAAGGGTAAGATAATGATGAAATGGCTCTCGCCCTGAAGCCTAAGGTTCGTGTGATCGCAACCAAGAAGAAGAAGAAAGCAGAAACGTTTCGATGGAATAGTTGAAATGCGAACTTATGACTTTCTTACTGTTAGTGACATACTGCAAAGTAGGAAGGGGTCAGTTAATTGGCATGATTAGGGTTAGGATTGTGATGATAATGATGATGATGATAGGGCTTTCAAGTTGCCCAGTAAATACAAGGAGTCGGCGGGAAATCAAGCAACGAGAAATTGTTTGTCCCTATTTTTCGTCTTTATTGCTATGAAAGTAGCCGGGGCCTTGTTAAGTTAATAGTAGCCCTGAGAATCCCCGGCCCGTAGCCCTTAATGATGTCAGTTTTCAAGCTAGTTACTTTTTTTGTTTGTCTGTTTCAAGTGAATTCTTTGTTTTTCAGAGAAGAGAAAGAAAAGTGGATACGGGCGAAATACGAGGGGAAAGAATTTCTTCAAGAACTTCCACCGAGCGATTTTTCATTAGGCGAAGTGAGTATCCAATGTGATGTGAGCTCTTTAAAAGATAGCCTTCATTTGGTTTGTGGTTAGAACTAAGAGAGGTGTAGGCATTTTTGAAAGCCAGAGAAAATGGCTGAAGAATAGTGGGGACAAACTCGCGAGTCCTTGTTAGGGACTGAGGTGGCCATGAAGAGGATGTATATGTTACAGGTCAAATTTGATTTCAGATTAATTTTTTTTAACCTAGGTTGATTCTCTATTTCCTTTGTCTCCTAGCCCTAATCAGGATGCAAAGAAAGTCATTTTTACAGCTTGCCAGCATTTACTAGCCCAAATGTCATTTCAACAAGCTCCAAAAACTTTTTGACGAGCAGAATTGATATCACCGTTCTACTATAATTTAAAATCCTCAAAAAACTTTACTTGCCCGTCTGCTGGCTACTTCAATTTTTATTGAAACCCCTGAGTTAATTGTTTGAGGTAAATTTAAATATTTCTGATCGGGAGCGTTGCCTTTTACCTTGGCTAAATCTCTATATTATCTGAACAAAACTAAACAACGATTTTATTTATTTTCAACAGCAACTCCTAGAAGCTGTAATTAGAGAAGATTTACCACAGTGTATACTACTCTTGGCTCATTGCACACCTGAAGATCTTAACACCATCTACGAAGACCGCGAAAGTAGCACACCACTTCATTTAAGCTGTTCACTAGGAAATATTGTCATTACGCAACTCCTTATTTGGGTAGGTAGCGAGCACTAGATGTCATAGCTTCGGTTGTTCTAGGGTCCGATCGAAAAGGCAACCTTTTTGAGGCTTCAGGTGTATGAAAGGGTAGAGATTCCCTAAGTTGAACTATATGAAACGGTAGGAAAATCTGTAGTTTCAGTTGTGAAAAAGTCGAGAAAGCGTTCTGGTTTTGTGATTTATTCCGATTCATGTCTATTGAAAGATAGTGTTTTTGCAGCGGTTAAAACAGATGCATAGTTCTAAACTAGTTATGTGAAAGGGGTACCATTAATTTTGTCAATAGAAGCAATACGAAAGGGGTACCTTTTCTGTCCAAAATGGAATATAAAAGGGTTAAGGATCGGATCTCGGAGCGGAGCCTCCCCATGTAACATTTTGTTGAGTACCCGCGGGGGTCTTTCCTGCTTTTTACTTTTTATTTTGGATTACGGGATGTGGCTTAAACGCACTTTTTTGCAATGCTCAGACATAACAACGTAAAGCGTATAGTGTACTTTTACCACCTTGGTGGCGGGAAAATTCCCTTGATTTTAAAAGGCAATTCAAACCATGCACTTTTGAAAACCTTTTTTGATGTTAACGGAGTTTCGTCTCTCTTCCAGTATTTTGCAGATGTACGGATTCTTGACGGGAGAGGTCGCTCAGCTCTGTGGCACGCAAAGAGTGCTGGGAGTAAAGAATGCGCTGATATTTTGCGTCATAACGGCTGCCATGACCTGGGTACAATGATTCCTCAGGTGAGCCGGAATGACGTGTTTCTTTGACACCGGAAGTCAACTGTCGAAGTCATAACTCATCAAACAAATCAAAAAGGCATTTTTGCATTAATCAAAGTGACAAAGCTACAGAGATGATGATTAATTCTGTCCAGAAGGTTAAAACGTTGCGTTGATGACATTTAGCGCAATTTCTGTGCCTTCAACATGCTGGCTTCATGTAAGCAAAGATTCTTCGTTCAATTTGCGTAACACCCTTGCTTCTTTGGCAGTATATATGAAAAGCGTGATGCATATTCCTGTCACTGAGTATTGATGTCACGCAATTTGAGTAGCAAGATGTTTTATCAAATATTAGAAATTAATGTATGAAGTTTTGAAGTTATCATTACGAAAATTTACTGTTGGTTTACTTCAGTTGTGCAACACCATTAGGCTGAAAAAAGAATTGAAGGCTGCCAAAATACTGAAAGGATATCAGTGAGAGAAAATTTTACATTATGAAGAAAGCACTATAAGAGTTGTATTTATTGTTCTTAGAAAAAGTGTATATATGTTATTAACATGAACGTGTATATAAATATATTGTTATTTCCTTGATATTATGAGGCTTATCACAGAGGCCATCGTACAAAGTGTACACGAAAGGTATAATGCGGGAGTAGAAGCACAAAAGGGGTATGTCGCATACTAAGATGTATTGCTAAATAAATTCATGATAGCCTGTTCACGGACCTTCAATTTTCTCTTTAGAGATCATAGAGCGTACGTATGAAAATAGAAACGGCGGGGAATTTATTGAATTCACCGCTTTCGCGCGCTCGCCTCGCTCGCGTGCTCGTCGATTTTAGAAAAGAAAAAGAAACCAAAATCCGTGTATAGGCTACATTAAAGAAGCAATTAGATGTTTTCCTAATCGGAAAATCGCTTACAGTCGAATCCCCCTTTATACAGTCACTGATTGAATCAAAAATGTGTCCCTTATTAAGTGTACGTATTAATTACAAAAAAAAAGGGTTCATAGAAGCAAAATATCAAAAACAGAACATTAACATCAACAAACTAAACATCACTAACGTACAAATAACAATTATTCCGTGGACTAAGTGTATCAGAATAGGCAAAAGTGTTCAAAAGGCTCTTATTTATTCTTTACTTAATTTATTTTATACTCGCTAGAACTAAGTCTAATTTGTTACTAAAATACAGTTAGTAATGACATGGAAAAGTTGTGATTTTCTCAATTAACTTCTCTTAAGGAGAAGCTCACTGCAGGACACAGTTAATAAAGCAATGTCCGTATGTCTATATAAATCCATGTTGATCGGGCAAGAAATATCGTCCGTGTCCGTAAAGCGGGGTTCGACTGTACGGCCTCACTCAACCATGAGATCACAACAACAGAAAAATAATATCCTAGACTACCTTGCCGGCAAGAAGGCATGGCCAAAATTAATTACGTTTTAAGCTTATTTTTATATTTTGCGACATATCCCCCTTAAGAGATGAGGGTACAGCGTTTTACCTTAAATCCTGATTTTATTGCACGTGCATTATTTTTCGTGTATATAATACAATCTTTCGCCCAACTTTACAAATCTTCACATAAGCATTCTGTTAAAGATATCTAATACTTTTACAAAAGAAATTAAAAGTCATTGTACTGAGATCCACGGAGAGAGCAGTAATACGGTATGAGTATAGTGAACTTTCTTTTACCTAACAATGCATAAAATCTCATTTAATCTGGGCGCTGTCTTTTCGACACTCTGGTAAGAACCCTCTCTCCGCGGAGGCCTCTTTGTGTTGTAGGAGTCTGGGGAGGAGAAAGAGAAAGAGCGCGGCACGATGGGAAGGGGAAAGAGAGAAAAGAGCTCCCGTCTTTTCCCTCTTCCCATCGTCCCCCGCGCGCTTTCTATTTTTCGATTATTGCTATTTTTACTGGAATACTCGTGGAAGCCTCTGCGCATGCGGAGGAGAGAGGCAAGAACTTGGGATTAAGAACTTCTTGGTAAGAACTTGCTTCCAAGCCAAACTCGTTTCCAGGTCTTTTCTTTCCCCTCCCATTCTCTGAGGGAAAAGCCCAGGGAACGAGGTTATTAGTAATTTTAAGTTCGGATGTGTTCATTTTTTTGTATTATACGCAGTCGATCATACATGCATGAAGCCTGCGCAATATAAATTCATAAATTCATAAATTATTAGTATTATCTCGAGATAAATATGCTTTCTCCAGGAAATTTCTTCGTGAGTTCCTTTTAAAGGTCAACGTAAAAGCCGTCTTCCACAGAACCGTGGTCAAATGTATTTACGAGCTTGTTGTTTGGGCTGAACTGTTGAGAACAAAGACGTTATCGTTAATTTTGTAGGGTGGAGAGGAGCGCGCTACGGTGTTTGTCCCTCAAACAAGGCTGTATATAACATGTCAATTTCGCACTGTGTTTTTATTGGTACCTGGAGTAGAAATTGCGAAATAAATATTAAATGTATTATAGCCTAAAACCAAGTTTTTAGACCATAGATGTTTTAAAAATACCTTCATTTTGATGGTCTTAGTATCTCCAAATCTCCAATGACGACGTTTTGATGGGCTTGGCGTCGTTTCCTGGTGAAATAAATTAGAGAAACAAAAATCAAATAGTTCTAGATAATCGGTACATATCTACAAACTGTACTGTACCTAAAATTAGCATCGATTTTAAATGTTTTAACTAAGTGCCTTGCGTGGCAGGCGCCATAAGAAAAGTGAGGGGAGGGGAGGGGAAATCCTCTCTCCCTTATCAGTCCCCTCCCTCCTGCTCCCCTTTCGACGCATGCCACGTAGGCTATCAATGAAGGAGCGCACCTGATTTATTCCATCGGGAGCCATCATATCGGCCCGGGATGTTACCGTGTTTCCTTGGCAACGAGGGTCTGAATTTGACCTACTTCTTTCATTTCCAGATTTGTCAGTCGATTCGGTGTCATTTGCTCTCGCTGTGACGGCTGTCTCTACTTTGAGCCCTAAGGCGCCTCCATCCTGACTTCCTTTCACTGAACTCTTCGCGACTGATTCACTCATCATTTTTTGCATCAAGGCTCTAGATTTCCCGCCAGATTCTTTTAAGCTTCCTACCCAATCACGAAGCTCCTTTTGTTTCTCCTTCTGTCGGGCGATCAAATATGAAAACGCCTCATTTGACGCCTCCTTTGTTTCTGCGTGTTGGAGCGCAACTCTTTTCATTATCCTATCCAGTGCTCTTCTGGTCTCTATTGCTTGTTTGCGTCCTCTTTGCAGTCTTCGTAAGCCTTGCTCGTGAGCAGCAATCATTCCTTGAACCCTCCCAACGCGTTCTTTTTCGATAACATTCAGTTTGCGTTCGTTGAAAGGTTTCTTTTGTTGAACGATTTTACGTTGTACTGTTAGTTCCTTGAAGACTGGACAAGCAGGAGATGGAGTAGGAACAATAGGTAGAGGTAAGGGGTGTAGTGGCCTAATGGGCTTGGAGAATAAAATTATAGATGAATACATGTTAGTTTCCATACGTGGATATAATGTAAACTTGGAGACCATAGCCTTATCCATCTAACCCAACAACCTAGATAGGATCATCCTAGCGCGTAATTACCTTTTAAAAAATCGGGTTCAACTCTTCGTATACACATCAAGACCCATAAACCAAATTCTTAGCGGATGTTTAGTTTGGAAAATCGCCCTTTAAACAGTCGTGGGTAGTTTTGTTCCTGTTTGGAGAGACGAACCCCCTGGACGAAACGTTATCCCGAAACACTGCTGTGCGACGCGCAAGCAAAAAAGTAAAGTTTTTTCGACAGGCGCTTTCCGATTGTAGGTCGGATAAGTTTTAATATTTTTAAGATAAAATACTGTATTAACTCAATGGAAAATAATGGTTAACTGTGTAGGTACTTCTAATATTCACTGAGCCAATTTTCGTATTGACACCATCAAACAAAATAAAGTTGACTGAAATGTAAGTTACTCACCATAAAATACGTAAACAGACTGTAGAAAAGATCGAAGACAGTACTCAATACCAGCGCAAAAAGACAAATAAATAGTACTGCCAACGAGAAGGGAAGATCAAAAAGAAACAGAAGCACTTCAACGAACACCATTACAAACTTTCGGCTTTTGCTTTTTTGTTTTATGTTACGGGCGATATTTGTTAAAACTGACGTCATCGATCTGGATCTCATTATACCGTCATCAATGGTCAAGTACTTCGAATAAACTGAATGAAGCGTAAGGTATGTGAATATTTACTAGGAGCAAGATTGCAATAAAAGCAGTTCCTTTGTGGACAACTGCACATTCATGAATAATTCGTTAATACTGCATAAGGAGAAAAACTGTGAATTTACCAGTTTGATCAGGAATAACACTTAATGTGCGCGCGCATTTCCTTTAAATTCTTTTGCTGGTTTCAGAATGTGCGCGCGCCACGTTTTTGCGTAACGGTTGAGGACCACCTGACAAGGGCGAGAATTCCAAGGTAAGGTGGTAGGACAAAGAAAAGCTTTTAAAATAAAGAGTCCTCTAACTCAAACTCTTTATTTTCAAGAAGGTTAGGATATTGAGTTAATTAAAGAAAAAGAATATTTATCATTGTTTCTTTAATCAGGAGCCGATCAGTACTTTGATACAATCTAGGAGGCCTTGTTACTATACTCTAAAACATCGCCAAATATCATTTTTAGACCGTCTTGAAGAAAAACAAAGAAAGGAAAATTTTATAATTTTGACCCAAAAACATCCGCTAATCCGCTTGGAGAAATTCCAATAGAACTAACCCTGGAAATGGCGATTTTACTACCTTTCTAAATCGATGTTTTTATAGTCCAGAAAGGGTAGTTTTCTACCATAAACGTTATCAAACGCTGTTTCTCGGCCTATTTAACCTAAAAAAAGGAAAAAAGAAATTTCAAAATTTTGGCCAAAACCATGGACTAACCCTTTTGAAGAAATGCAAATTTTGCGACTTTTTTAAATCATTGTTTTTATTGTCTAGAAATGCTAGTTTTCTATCTAGAACGTTACAAAACACTTTTTCTTGGCCGATCTTACCTAAAATGAACAGATAAAGAAACTTATTAATTTTGCCCAAAACCATGGTCTAACCCTTTGGAAAAATGCCAACTTTGCGAATTTTTCAAATCGTTGTTTTTCTAGTCTGGAAAGGCTAGTTTTCTATCTTGAACGTTATTAAACACTTTTTCTTAGCCTATGAAATGATAAAGAAATTTCATGATTTTGGCCAACCATGGACTAACCCCTTTGGAACAATGCCAACTTTGCGACTTTTTTATAGCCTAGAAATACTATTTTTCCACTAGAACTTTATTAAACACTTTTCCTTGGCCTATCTTACCTAAAATGAAGAGATATAGAAATTTTATAATTTTGGCCACAACTATGGAAGAATGGAAATATGCCATTTTTGCCACATTGTCAAATCGAGGTTTTTATAGTCTAGAAATGATAGTTTTCTATCTAGGACGTTACAAAACACTTTCCCTTGGCCTATGTTAGCGAAAAAAAGGGATCAAGATATTTTTTTTAATTTTGGCCAAAACCAATGCCAATTTTGCGACCTTTTGAAATCGATGTTTTTATACTCTACAAATGCTAATTTTCTATGTAGACCGTTACTAAACACTTTTTCTTGGCCTATCTTAAGTAAAATGAAAAGATAAAAAAATTTATTAATTTTGCCCAAAACCATGGACTAACCCCTTTAGAAAAATACCAATTTTGCAACTTTTTCAAATCGATGTTTTTACAGTCTAGAAATACTAGTTTTCTATCTAGAACGTCATTAAACACTTTTTCTTGGCCCATCCTACTTAAAAGAAAAAGGGTTGTTAAAGAAATTTCATAATTTTGGCCAAAACCATGGCCTAACCCCTTTGGAAAAATGCCAATTTGCGACTTGTTTAAATCGATGTTGTCATAGTCTAGAAATGTTAGTTTTCTATTTAGAACGTTACTAAACTCTTTTTCTTGGCCTATTTAACCTAAAAAGAAGGCATCAGGAAATTTCAAAAGTTGGGTTAAAACCATGGAC